CAGGCGGATCACGAGGTCAGGAGATCAACACCATCCTGGCTAACCCGGTGAAACCCCGTCTCTACTAAAAAAATACAAAAAACTAGCCAGGTGAAGTGGCGGGTGCCTGTAGTCCCAGCTACTCGGGAGGCTGAGGCAGGAGAATGGTGTAAACCCGGGAGGCGGAGCTTGCAGTGAGCTGAGATCCGGCCACTGCACTCCAGCCTGGGCGACAGAGCCAGACTCCGTCTCAAAAAAAAAAAAAAGTAAAAAAAAAAAAAAAAGTTGGGAAACTAATACCACAATCAAGGTATAAAACATTTCAGTCATCCCTAGAAGTTTTCTCATGCCCTCTGGGAGACAACCCCCTCCCTTTATACATTACTAGATTCTGTTTGCTAATATTGTGGCAAAGATACTTATGTCTGTGTTCATGAGAAATATTATTTCAAGTTTGGTTTTCTTGTAATGTCTTGGTTTTCATATCAGAATAATGCTGGCCTCCATACAATGTTGAAATATATTGCCTCTTTTATTTTCTGGAGTAATTTACATAGAATTGGTATTATTTCATCCTTAAATATATTTTAGATATGCTGGTGAATGCTACTGGGCCTGGAGTTTTCTTTGTTGAAATATGTGTTTAAGCCATGAATCCAGTTTATCTAATAGATTTAGTTTTATGTTAGTTATCTATTTATTTTTGAATGAGTGTTGGTAGTTTGTATCACTCAAAGAATTGGTCCATTTCCTTTAAGCTGTTGAATTTATATAGGTAAAGTTGTATTGTAGTATTCTTTTTTTTTTTTTTTTTTGAGATGGAGTTTCGCTCTTGTCGCCCAGGCTGGGGTGCAGTAGCACAATTTCGGCTCACTACAACCTCTGCCTCTGGATTCAAGTGATTCTCCTGCCTCAGCCTCTCAAGTAGCTGGGATTACAGGCATGCACCACCACACCCAGCTAATTTTTGTGGGTTGTTTTTTTTTCTTCAGTAGAGACGAGGTTACACCATGTTGGCTCTAACTCCTGACCTCAAGTGATCCACCTACCTCGGCCTCCCAAAGTACTGGGATCATGGGTGTTAGCCACCATGCCCCGCCTGTAGTATTCTTTTATTATTTAATGTCTGTGGAATCTGTAGTGTTATCCCTATTTCTCACCTTTTTGTCAGATTGGTTAGAGGTTTATTGATTGTATTAGTATATTAAGGATTCAGCTTTTTGTTTCCTTGTTGTTTTTATTGGTTTTGTTTTTATTTTCAAATGCTACCCATATCTTTTTGATACCCTTTTTCTGCTTGCTTTGGATTTAATTTGCTCTTCTTCTGCTTTTCTAAAGGGAATTTCTTCTTTTCTAATGTGTGCATTTAATGCTATACTCGAAAGCATAGCGTTATACCTTTAAACATTATAGCTTGTAAGTATAGCAATGTTTCCTTATAAGCAATGTTTAAAGCTGCATTCTGCAAATTTTCATTCAATCCAAATATATTATTTCCCCTGTGTCTTCCTCTTTGATTCATGGGTTATTTAGAAATGCACTGATTTTCACATTTTTGTGATTTTCAGATAGCTTCCCATGGTTGATTGATTAATTTTTAAGTTTCTTTGTGGTCTGGCAAAATGCCTCATATAATTTCAGTTCTTTTAAATTTGATGCCTAAAATGTGGACTTTTCTGGGTGAATGCTCCATGTGTACTTGAGAAGAGTATGTGTTCTGCTGTTATTTAAATTTCAGATTTCCCTCTGGTGCCATTTTTCTTTAGCCTGAAAACCTTCCCTTAGCATTTATTTTAGAGCAGGTGTGCTGACAATGAGTTCAACATACAACGAATTTTATGTTGCCTAATTTTGAATTGTACATTAAATGTTTTATATTTTATGTTTTATGTGCTCTGGATGTCATTATAATTCTTTGAAGAATGTGAATTTTTTTTTTAAAATAGGCAGTCCACCTAGTTAGGTTCAGACTAAAACTCCTGTTTCATCTTTCCCATACAAATCACCTAAGTGTTGACTTCCCTCTGCAGTCTCCTAGCCACTGTTTACTCTTCAGAATTCTTCAGCTGTTTTGTATTTTGCTGAGAGTTTTTAGGTAATCAGTGGGAGAAGCAGGCCGTAGTGGGCTTATTTTATGTTGCCCGGAAGCACAGTCTTTGTGTTTTCTTATTCCATAATTCAGATGCAATTATTGCCTTGTAGCATCAGTATTTCAATTTATCCACATTTTTTTTTTTTTTTTTTTTTTGGAGACAGAGTCTCGCTCTGTCGCCCAGGCTGGAGTGCAATGGCCAGATCTCAGCTTACTGCAAGCTCGGCCTCCCGGGTTTACGCCATTCTCCTGCCTCAGCCTCCTGAGTAGCTGGGACTACAGGCGCCCGCCACCTCGCCCAGCTAGTTTTTTGTATTTTTTTTTTTTTTAGTAGAGACGGGGTTTCACCATGTTAGCCAGGATGGTGTTGATCTCCTGACCTCATGATCCGCCTGTCTTGGCCTCCCAAAGTGCTGGGATTACAGGTTTGAGCCACCGCGCCCGGCCACCCACATATTTTTTTAAGAAGATTGTTTATGCTCTAATCCTTTTTGCATCTTAGGCCATCGTTTTAGAATCTTACTTCTTTTTGAAGAAAATGTTTTAGAAGTTTTTTTTTTTTACTGATTATCTGTTAGGAGTAAGCTATGTTTTTTAGTTGTCTTTATTTTATTTCTTTATTTTGTTTTTATCCATAAAAGTTTGTTTTGTTGACTATTTGAACCTGGTTAACAGTTATTTTTATGCCAGAACTTTGAAAGTAACTTCCAGTGTTTTCTGATTTCTTGTTTCTGCCGACAAGGTCCTTGTTACTTTCTTGTTCCCATGTGGTTAATACATCTTTTTTTCTTTGGAAACATTTAAGATCTTTTTGATTTTGGTGTTCTCTTTTTTCCTTTTTCTTTTTTTTAAGAGATGGATTCTGTCAGCAAGGCTGGAGTGCAGTGGTGTGATCATAGCTCACTATAGCCTTGCACTCCTGAGCTCACGCAATCCTCTCACCTTAGTCCCTGGAGTAGCTTACCACACCCAGCTGCAGATGTTTTTGTAGACATGAGGTATTTGTTTTTATTATAATTCATTGATCATCTTGAATCTTGGCAGTGGTGTCTTCTGTAAATATTCTCAGCCATTGTCTCGTGAAATAGTCCATTTCCATTGTTCTCTATTATATCTACCTGGAACTCTAATTAGATGTTGATTGACCATTCTCTATCCTTCATATCTCTGTTCTCTTTCATATTTTTAATCTTTTTTTTCCATGTTACATTTTCAATATATTCAGTATGAAGAGACAGAGGCAAATCAGGTTCAAGACAGGAAATTAAAACAAAACGCAGTCATAAGGTTTTGATCACTAGTTACAGAAGGCTAAAGATATGTTTTGTTAAGTTGTATGATCTAGTTAATTATTTTTAATTATCTTTGTCTTTTGACATTTTGCTGTAATGGTATGTGTTCCAGATGACATTGTTGTTACCAAACCCTGGTTCTTTCTGAGCTAGCATAGGCACCACCCAGAGGTCCCATTTGGTAGGTGAGATATAGTAGCAGGATTATCTGGGAAGAAGCAGGATGATATGTAGTGTTTAAGGTGCTTGAGCTCTGTATAGACACATTTTGATTCAAATTTCTGCCCTAACATTTATTAAATATGTGATGTCATTTCTAATGTTGCAGCACTTGCATTTTCTCTGCATTGGCTACTGGTATTATAATTATTCCTCTTAAGTCAGTTGTGCATTATACTTCTAGACAGACTCATTTAGATGTGGAATAGTATAATATTACCTTTTGGAAAGTTAGCTTAGGCAAGACTATAGGATTTTGAACCCTAGCTTTAATGATTTATTTGCTTTGTGTTTTTGAGTCAAATTACTCCAAAGGCGGCTAGCACAGGAACCAGGTGGGAATCAGGACCCCACATAGGTGAATAAGATTCAAGACAGGAAATTAAAACAAAAGTTCAGTTATATTTCCTGGACCAGCAAGGAAAACAAAGAAGGCTGCAGGTCTGTAAGTACAAATATTTCCAATCCCAGGCATACTTTATTCTGGGTTTATTACAACCAGCCTTCCTTCATTACAAATTATCTGTGGAAAAAGGACATAAAGTTATTGATACAGTTGGTTCTCAAAGGTGTAGGGACTTGTCAGAGCCAAAACTGCTAGTCAGAATTCCTAAGTACCTGTCATGGGGTGGGATGGGAGGCTAGAATAAGCAGGGATTCAGGATCATAGTGGTAGTGAAAAGTCAAGTTGGATTATAATGAAATGTCTACTCATATTTACTAGTCATACAAACTAAGTGTTCCGCTTCTGGGAATTTGTTTTGAGGAAATAAAATATATGCACAATTATATAATTACAAATATTTCATCACATTGGTGTTTAAAATAGTAAAGGAGTGGAATCACTCTAAATGTCCAACATAGAGAATTGATTTAATAAACTTATACTACATGTATGTAATACGAAACTTTGAACCCATCAGAAATTATATAGAAATGTATTTCTATTTCTTAACTTGAAGATATATTTACTATAGTTAAGCTATAAAAACTGGTTACAGTATTAGAATATGATCACATTTTTATAGGAAAATGATATCTGTATCCATATCTATCTCTGTAAAGAAGAATAAGAAGATTTGGGAAAGTATTTACTAAAATGTTTACAGTGATTTTTTCTTGGAAGAGAGAAATATAAGGGCTTTTATTTTCTAATTTTTACTGAAAATTTATGGCTGTTATAGTAAGAAAACATTTTACTTTTTATTTAAAATGGCAGGTAGTAAAATAAATACTTTGACATTAGATTTATTGTAAAATAGAGAATCTATCTCGGTATTACTTTATTATAGGATTTCTTTTTGTTTAGAACCGTGAGGCCATGCTTTTTTCTGTTCATACAATTTTGAGTAGTAACTTGCTTTTTAAATTCCTGCTGATATTTCTAAATCCTTTATTGTTTGCTTTTATTTCTTTAGGTTATTGTGTCAATGAGTATAGCATTTGCTCAACAAACTGAACTGTCTAGAATATCTGGGGGAAAAGAAAATACTACATCATCAAAGCAAGCACATGCTGTGTGTCACCAAGAAAAACAGCATTATTTTAATGAAATGAAATTATCACAGGATCAAACTGGTTTTCAGACTTTTGAGACAGTGGATGTGAAATTTAAAGAAGAATTTAAACCACTTAGTAAAGAGTTAGGAGAACATGGAAAGGAAATTTTATTATCAAATAATGATCCCGATGATATACGAGAATCAAAGGACTGTGTACTGACTATTTCAGAAGAAATGTTCTCCAAAGATAAGACATTTATAGTCAGACAGTCTGTAAGTATGCCTCCTTGAACATAAAAAACTTATTTAAAAATTGTGAATTCCTTCACTATGAAAATATTAGCAATCATGCTGCATAATATTTGGAGGAGGAAAATACCAAACTCAGTCTTATGACTCACATTGTTGTTTTGTTTTTGAGGCGGAGTCTCACTCTGTCGCCAGGGTGGAGTGCAGTAGCACCATCTCGGCTCACTGCAACCTCCGCCTCCCAGGTTCAAGGGATTCTTCTGCCTCAGCCTCCTGAGTAATTGGGACTACAGGCGCGTGCCACCACATCCAGCTAATTTTTGTATTTTTAGTAGAGACAGGATTTACCATGTTGGCCAGGATGGTCTCAATCTCTTGACCTTGTGATCCACCCTCCTCGGCCTCCCAGAGTGCTGGGATTACAGGCATGAGCCACCGTGCCCGGCCGATTCACACTGTTAATGTGTTTTATTAATTGTAAGATATATGGATAAGTGACTTAATATTAGTATCAAATAAAACAAGTCTGGTTCATAATATTCTTGTTTATCTTAAAGACGTTGTACCTGGTAAAATCCCATTGTAAGTTGTATGCACATTAATTCTCTTTCAACCAATTCGAGATTAATTATACTACAATTTGGTAATATCTGTGAATAAAAGATTTGCTTAATTAAATATAACAACATTACAAGGAAATAGCTACCTATTTAGGATGACTAAAAGATTTTATTATCTATATCCTAACTATTGGTTTCTTTACTTATTTATTAATAGAAGATCTGTTCTGTGTCTATACCTCAACTGTTAAACAGAAAGTAATAAATCCTACTTCTTTTAACATCTGAATTAAATTTTTTAATTAATATTCAGGATAGGTTATGTTTTGTTCAGACTAATATTCAAGTAAATTGCCAACTCCAGGCCAAGTGTGGTGGCTCATGCCTGTAATCCGAGCACTTTGGGAGGCTGAGGCAGGTGGATCACTTGAGGTCAGGAGTTTGAGACCAGCCTAGCCAACATGGTAAAACCCCATTTCTACTAAAAATGCAAAAAATTAGCTGGGCATGGCAGTGCATGCCTGTAATCCCTGCTATTTGGGAGGCTGAGGCAGAGAAATCACTTGAACTGGGGAGGTGTAGATTGTAGTAGCCAAGATGGTGCCACTGCACTGCAGCCTGGGTGACACCAAGACTCCGTCTCAAAAATAAATAAATAAAATAAAATTACCATCTCTTTGTGGAATGCGAAACTTGTTAGGTGTTCTTGAAGACCTCTTTAATTTACCATCAACTGTTCAAAGCAAAATGATTTAAGTAACATCTCTCCAGGAAATGATGTACTCATAGAATGTATTAAGGAATTGACTTCTTATGAGCGTGAGACTCTGGAATGTAAAGCTTTTATTTTCAAATAAAATGTATTGAAAATTATTTTTTATCAGTAGTTCTCTGTAGTACTGTGATAACCACTGTGTAAATTAAATGGATAGTTTCTCATGTTTCATACATTTAATTTTAAAATATAAATATTCCATTGATATTATTTACCCGTCATAAAATGTCAAGAGGAATAATGGCATTATAGCTTCATTAAGGGTAGAAGGAATCTTAAGTATCTTAGTTCTTTTTGTTTTCTATTAGAATTAGATTAAGTCTAAACTAATTGATAAATAATTGTTTTGCTTTTGGAAAATAATATATATAATGATAATAAAGTAGCTTTATGTTGTTTTGGAATTGTAATGAAGAAAAACACCATTTTTAAAAGTATGTTTTTGTTTAATAATAAAATCACACGCTTTATGGCATAAGTAATAGAATTGCTTTCGTATTTGTTTAAAATATTAATGCTGACAGATTTTTACAAAATGTGTTATGGCTGAATTTTTTTTTTTTCTTTACTCTTGAAGATTCATGATGAGATTTCGGTGTCAAGCATGGATGCTTCTAGACAACTAATGTTGAATGAAGAACAATTGGAAGATATGAGGCAGGAACTTGTACGACAATACCAAGAACATCAACAGGCAACAGAATTGTTAAGGCAGGCACATATGCGACAAATGGAGAGACAGCGAGAAGACCAGGAACAGCTACAAGAAGAGATTAAGAGACTTAATAAACAATTAGCCCAGGTAAGGGTCTTGTAGTCCCTATTCTCTCCCCAATTTTTTTTTTCCAAACACCAACTTCAACCAGATCCCCAGTAAAAACAACAGTATTTTTTATGTAGCCATAATTTTTTTTTGCCAAAATCTGAATAAACTACATATATTTAGCATCAGGAACACACTCTATACTAACACAGCAGCTTTAGATCTTGTTAGGGACACCTCTGTCAACCTTGGAGTGGGCATTGTCTTTCTGTCATTTTATTTAACTCCTTTTTCAAGCACTGGAAAAGTGGCTACACGGTTGTTGGGGTTTTTTTTTTTTAAATCTATTAACCATATATAGCAAACGCAGTTTGACATTTTGGAAATAACATTGTGCTGAGGTGCTCCATTATGCAGTTACTATCGTTCAGTTTTACTATATTCATTTATAGTTTTGTGAGTCCACCAATTAGCATCTCAAAGTTTTACCTTTATCTGTCTTTAATCCATCTTTTTAATCATGAATGGAAATCGGAAGTAGTATGCTTCTGGAACTCTTTCCAGGGAAACATCTCTTCTTGATTTGAGAAATGCAAATTTATTTAACATTCTTATCCCTTTCTTGACTAAATTTAAATACTTCTTGGTATTTGGGAGCTGGATTCTTGTCAACTGCTATATAAAATATACTCACAAAATCATTGCAGAAAAGCAAGAAATATTTATGTAGAAGTTCTTATGACAATGGATTTATTGAATTTAATTTTGAAAACTGAAGCTAAAAAGGAGATAAGAAATAACTAGAGATAACTATTAACATGTATTCTTTCAAATATAAAATAATAGGAAAATTGGGAGCTGAGCATAAAACATAATTTGGAAAATTAACTTTGCTTTTCTTCATTGCATTTTGTGAATTCAGACTTCTTAATTTTCAATGCAAAATTGACGAAAACTAAGTGAACTGCACAAATTCCTGAATATTTAGGCTTAATTGGCTTTTTAAAAATATTTTAAATTTTGCATTGATCTTTGTATATACTTTTAACCCCTTATGATGGAATACGAATCATAAGTAGAACCAGGACCTGTTGGTCCCAGGGGTTAAAAGAAATCTGCTTAATATTTCTACCCTTTTTCTCTGTCGCAAACAATATTCTCTCATGACCTTTTTTCTTATTTAGAGATCCTCCATAGATAATGAAAACCTGGTTTCAGAGAGAGAGAGGGTGCTTTTAGAGGAGCTGGAAGCACTAAAGCAGCTGTCTTTAGCTGGAAGAGAGAAGCTGTGTTGTGAGCTGCGCAACAGCAGTACGCAAACACAGGTAGTATGGACTTTGGCCCACCTAGGAGCAATGGATCAACAATTCAGTAGGATTTGTTTATCTTTGTTGTTGGTATGAGGTGTACTCTTTTATAGGTACTGAGCTTAACATATTTGTGACTGCATACATGTAAGGTAGGTGGAGTCAAAATGCCTTATATTTCATTTAAGGTAATTTGAATCTGACATTGCTGTTAACAAGAGAACCTAACAAACTTTATTGTTGCACTATAGCATGCATAATTTGAACCCATTAAACTTTTTTATTTATGTACGAGAATGTTTTATGCTCTTTTGATGACACTAGTCTCAAATATAGTTAAATATTATACCAAACAGTATCAATTTTGTGCACAGAGATTTCTATTTTATCTCATACCCATATAGAAGAATGACATGCTATTTCCAAGATGACAGGTTTTCTTTCTGTCTTCTCCTCTCTTCCTTTACTCAAATTTAAACAGAATGGAAATGAAAACCAAGGAGAAGCTGAAGAACAGACATTTAAAGAAAAGGAATTGGACAGAAAACCTGAACATGTGCCTCCTGAGATTTTGTCTAATGAAAGGTATACAAAATGTGTACTTTTTCAGTGCAAAGTAGATTAAAATGGTTGTTTCAATGTAATAGACTTTGTCCTTATTTTTATCTTGTACATTGATACTTTGTCTTAAATATCATCATACTATATATGTATGAAACATGTCCATATATGTGTAGTATGTAAAGGATTTTCAGTTTTTTATCATTAAATAGATACAATTTTTAAAAAATCATTTCTATATAAATTTTGATTGGATATTAATCACATACTTAACTGTTAATATTAAGGTATTTGGATATTGAAACTTTCTTGATTAATTTTATACTTATATGCCATTTTGTATCCTAAAAACACAGTTCTACTTGTGAACTGTATTCTTTCACTGTATGGACATGTATTCAGTGTAAGCCATCCCCTGCCTTGTTTATTCTGAGAAAAAAATTACCGTTAGTGTAAATATTCTAAACTTCTTTCATGCATTTGCTACGTAACAGATGACAACTTTTAATCCATATCCCAGTCCTATAGAGGGATAAATTAATCACCTGATGTTAGCAAAACTTTTCCTTACTTTGATTTTGTAGAGGTTAATATAAAAATGTAAAATATTAGGTAAGAATAGTTATCCTACATTAGTATTAAAGACTTTAAGCACAATATTTTAAACTTTGTTCAAATGAAAATAATTTCTTTAATTTTAAATTAAAACTAATATTTACTAACTTAATTTCCTCCTTTTCCAATTTCTGTGACTGTCAACCCTCTTGTGTCCTCCTAACCTCCTTCCTCAGCTTGCATGGAGGAATTTGGCCCCTAAGATTTTGGCTTCCCCATTGGATCATCAGTATGGAACGCAGTCAGTATGGAACTCAAACAAGAAAGACAGTGTATGAAAATTAGAGTTACCATGGCAATATAAAATAAACACTTTGTTTATTTTATATTTTTTATCTCTAATTGGTAAATTTTGAAAACTATGCAGTATTTAATTTTTAGGAATTTTTACAGTAAGTGCCAATAAAATGAGTATTTTTTTTTAACCATCATATTAATCATTTAAGTAGAAATATTTTCACATTATTCTAGTCCTGGGGTTCGGCGCTTAAACAAAACCTCAGAACAAGTTAAGGAAATAAAACCCTTGGCTTCCTACTAAATTATTTTAGTTTTATTTTTAGTATTCTTGATTATATAAGCAGAGAACTTGATCTAGGTGCAAAAATAGAACTGTCTCTTTCACTTGACAAATACTAATGGAAAACTTCTCCATTTATTATCTTGTCTTAAAATAGATATGTCATGTGCCTGTGAAAACAGGTATCCTTTAGCCTGATTGTTGGCAATCTCCTACAATGTGAAGCTAAAAGATAAAACTATCTTAAGGCAGAAGACCTTTACCGTGAAAATCTTTTATTTAGTCTGCATGTATAAAGTGTGCCTTTGTTGAACTGAGTTGCTAGGACAAGAGAGTTGTTTAGTTTTTAAGAAAATTAATCAGGCAACCTTCTGAATCACCACTTATGGAAATACCTTGCTTCACATGGTAGAATGTTCATGTTAAGCAAAAAAGAGAGTGTACAAAAACACTTTGTTCAGGATGATCTCATTTTTGTTTTTAAAATATGTATATATTTATAAGAGGCAGGAGGAAAAGTCTAGAAATATAGGTATTAAAATTGTCATAGTTATTGCTGAGGTTTTTGGTGGGTGGTTTGCAGTATTTTCCAGATTTTTTAAAATAAGGATTACTTTTTAAAAAGAGAGACACCAAATTCATTCTATTTAGTTGAAAACAGGGTTCTTCTACTGACTGAAATGAGTGGTGAGTGTAACTTGAGAAATTTCTGTCTCTGGAGCAGATGTAATAAAAACAGCCTGTGATACTCCCTCTGGTGTTGACAGATAGTGATATTTCATTACAGACCTTTTTAAAAACAGATCTCTGCCTAAGTATTACTTTTTGTAATTTAAATATTCAGCTCATTACCATTAACTTGTACAAATACTGCCACATAATTTTTTCTGGTGTGATTTTGAAATTATGTTTTAAAATATGTTTTTATGTTTAACATATAGAAAGATTAAATGTACAAAATACATATGTATAACCATGAGCAGCAAGCTCAATAACTTGCATATGCTTTGGCACTGCCATACTTTTTAAAACTTAAATTTTGTCTCCCAAAATTTTCTCTTAACCTAGTTACTAGCTTAAGACTGTAGTTATTTTTTTCAAGTCAATTAGACATTGTACATTTTGAAAAATGGCATGATTAAGCTGATTGGCCAAAATTTTTCAGACAAAACAAATCATTTTATAATATAGTCACAAATAAAAAACAAGACGCACTTTATTGTAGATGCTATTGGGTATTATTTTAACAAAGAGGATCATCTGTTATTTTTCAAATCAGATATTTTGCAGTGTACTTTTTAGTGGACATAAGCAAAGTGTTTGCTTCAAAAATATTAAACATTTTAATCAATGCTTCTTTATCTATACAGGTATGCACTCCAGAAAGCTAATAACAGACTTTTGAAGATCCTTTTAGAAGTTGTAAAGACAACAGCAGCTGTTGAAGAAACAATTGGTCGCCATGTCCTTGGGATTCTAGATAGATCTAGTAAAAGCCAGTCATCTGCCAGCCTAATTTGGAGGTCAGAAGCAGAGGCATCTGTAAAGTCATGTGTCCATGAGGAACATACAAGAGGTACTAGTTTTCTATGTTGTTGAAACAATCATTTCAACAAATCTTGCCGAGTTCAAGGCATTTTGCCATGTGTGGAAAATATAGAAGAGAAAATAAGTATTTTCCAGCAAATGGACCTTCAAACAGAAATACATTAGAGTGACTCTTCTCAAATACCATTATTGTATAGCATTTGCAAGTGGGTATCATAGAGTTGTCATTATATTTATCCAGGGTTGCCACGGTGCCTACATAAACCAGAATGCTGTTACATTTCTCCACCAATAAAAAAATTTCTGCATCAGCACTCAGGACTCTTACCAGTATCTGTGAGGTATGGATGACATCCTGAAACCATCCTATAAATTAAGGAAAGATTAGAAATAAAGACTTTTTAGGAACCTAGCACCAGTTTCACATACCTGTTGAAATGGTTGGAAGAAAGCCTTGATAAGAAACCCAAGGTTTTTGGACTGTTCTCTGCTAGATTCTTTCTTCCTTTTGAAAAAGTGGATTGAAATATTATGCAATGTATATGGATCCAGAGATTAGGTCCTGATATGCCAGAGCTGTCTTTGTAACTCTGTCTTCCTTCAGCTGTGTGGATTCGGCTCTTCTTTCCGTTGCCTTTTTTTTTAAAGACAGTGTCGCGCTCTGTCGCCCAGGCTGGAGTGCAGTGGCGCATGCTAGGCTCACTGCAACCTCTGCCTCCTGGGTTCAAGCATTCTCCTGCCTCAGCCTGTCAAGTAGCTGGGACTACAGGTGCATGCCACCACACCCAGCTAATTTTTGTATTTTTAGTAGAGATGGGATTTTACCATGTTAGCCAGGCTGGTCTTGAATTCCTGACCTAAGGTGATCTGCCTGGCTTGGCCTCCCAAAGTGCTGGGATTACAGGCGTGAGCCACCATGCCTGGCCTCTTCTTTGCATTTCTTCCCATCACATTGCTGAACTCCATTGTCTCTTGTTTTTTCAATTTCTTTTTCCTTGCAGGAGAGGGAAATGAGGAAATCAGAAGTGGGGAAAAGTTTTGTGAGATGGAGAAACATAGGATCTGGACTCCTGGCTCAGATCAAGCTCGCAGTTCACTATCATTCCACACTCAAGCATCTCTCCCAGTTAGAGGCAGACCTAAGATGCCAGTTTTTGTAACTTTTGAAGAGCATTCTGTTTGTTAAATTTCATGTGGAGAAATGAGAAGAAATTATCCCATTTATGGAAGGTTTGCCTAATTATAAGTTAGCCAGTAGTGTGTTTCTAAGTACAGAGAAAAACTTGATTTGGAATTGCAAATAAAACTGATTTTTAAACACCTCAGTTGAGTTCAAAGATAGTTTTAAAAATTGCTTTTGGTAAATTAAAAGCTGAAATAATACTGAATTTTAAACCTTGCTTTCAAATTCACTCTTTTCAAACTTGGTAGAATTTTTCGAATTAACTTCACTCTTGGTTAAGCTCTCAATCACGGCTATTTTATTTCTGCATATGGATCTTTATAGAGAAGAATTAGGTAACATTTTCTTAGTCTGGTAAAAGTGTTTATCAAATTATGCTTTTTAAAAAACAATTATTTCACAAGCTTATTTCACTTAACCATTTAGGGAGGGATTTTGCAGTTCTACTGGTAAGACCTAGAGACCAGGTTGACTGCCATATTCAAAAGATACTCTGAGAATGTTCTGTGCATTACAGATGTATTTTGTGCTTTTGTTGTTAGTAGTTCTCTTAGATACTTCTCAACATGGCTGCCAAAGTATTCAGTAGACAACATGCCTTGAAAGACAGTGAACTTACTTCCAGAGCACTGTCTCCATAAAAAGGAATAAACTGATAATTTAACTTAAGCACAGAGGATTATATTTATGTTCATTTTCCATGAGAAAGCAGACCTAAAAAGACTTCTGATCAACTAGCCTATTTTCTTGCATAAGTGTATCTCAATCTTCCAACACAGGTGAAATATGTATATCCTATTTTAAGATACAGTAATGGTTTTCTTTCCTTTTTTCTTTTGAGTCTCTCTCTGTTGCCTAGGCTGGAGAGCAGTGGCTCAATCTCTGCTAACTGCAACCTCCACCTCCGGGTTCAAGTGATTCTCCTGCCGCAGCCTCCCAAGTAGCTGGGATTACAGGTGCCTGCTGCCATGCCTGGCTAATATTTTTGTATTTTTAGTAGAGACAGGGTTTTACTATGTTGGCCAGGCTGGTTTCGAACTCCTGACCTCAAGTGATCCACCAGCCTCGACCTCCCAGAGTGCTAGAATTACAGGCGTGAGCCACTGCAACTGACCATAGTTTTCAATTATAAGCAATTTTATGAGTTTAATTCTACAGACATTTGCTGAACTATTTCTCTACGCTTTTAGCTTACAGTAATTCATAGTCTAATGAAGAAGTCATTGCTATTCTGATTCAAAGCAAAATAGTCATAATACTTAATATTTTGCCTAAAACCACTACATATATTTGTATTAACTACCCCCTTTAAAATTTTAGTTAACTGTTGGCCAATTCTGAAAGAATAATATTGAGATAAGAGGAAAAACTAAATCCAGAGTTAAGAAATATAGTGTGTAGAATATTGTAGCAGAGATAATTTTGCTAGGATTAGTATCATTGGTTATATTTACTTTCCATTTAGTTACCTCCATCTTACTGTTTTTATGTTTAGCAGCAGTATCTTACTAATAAAATTAGAATAACCACTGATATCACTGGGGGACACTTAATGGATCCATCTTGCATCTTTGAGGATATATTGAGTTATTAGAATTTATAATTTAAAACTTTTTTTATAAACTTGAAAGAAAATACTGGCTTTAAAATATTATCACTGTGCTCCATATATAAGAATTTTTTCTGATATTCCTTCATAAATATAATGGAAGCATTATTTTTTAAAATGAAATACACTTTTGAAAGATTTATGTTTTTTACTATAACAAAAATTTAAATCAATCTAATTGCGAAGCAACTTTTGCTTTTCAGTTTTCATATATGACTTTTTGTTGTAACACTTGTGATGTATTTTCAGCCTTCAAGTCTGAACATGTTTTGATTTTAAACATGTATGGACTTGTTAACACTCAAAAAATTAAGGAATAAAGTTGCTAATATTTGCTTCCTCTTAAGAGTAACCTACTTTATGAAATTAAAGGGAAATTTTGAGCTAACATAAAATCACTTAAACCTGAATGAATATTAGATCAGTTCATAAAAATGAATTCCCCAGGTTGTGTTGAAAAAAAATTTCCTTCAGGTGTTCGCTGTGATGATTCAGTAGTTTTATGCTCACCTCTCCCATAGGAGGCCAGGGATGGAATCTTATCTGCTGCTGCCTCCTTTTGGAGAAATGAGTTCTTACAGAAAGAATGCTAGGGGCTGAGAGTCATGGCTCACGCCTGTAATCCCAACACTTTGGGAGGCCAAGGCAGGCAGATGACCTGAAGTCAGGAGTTCAAGACCAGCCTGGCCAACAGGGTGAAACCCCATCTCTGCTTAAAATATGAAAATTAGCCAGGTGTGGCGGCACATGCCTGTAATCCCAACTACTCATGAGGCTGAAGCAGGATAATGCTTGAACCCAGGGGTGGAGGTTGCAGTGAGCCGAGATCGCACCACTGCACTAATCAGAAGGCCTTGTTTCTTTTCTAGCCCACTGTGATACTGGGCAAACCTGTTAAGTCTCCCAGGGCTTCAGTACAGTTTTCTCAACTGTCAGATACCAGGGTCAGACTAGAGCTTAGTGGTTTCCATTGGAGCCATAGAAGAGAGCCTTTGGGGCAGAGAAGGCTTTATTAAATTGCCTATCCTGCTTTAACCTGAGGAATTTATTGTTGTCTGTCAGGGAATGAATATGATATAATTCATAAAGTTAATAACTAAAGGACTTTAATAACCATCATTTACTATGTTTAAGACATAAATCCAAGAGGTTCACCACTTTGAAATGATTCTATTTACCAAAGTGGACATTCTAAGATTGTTATTGGCATCTTGTGACATTCCGCTGCTAATCTATATTATCCTCTGAATTTTTCCCTCCAAGACTAGTTGTTAAAGTCTTTCTCATTTTTCTATTTTATAGGATTTTTTTTTTAAATTCACTTTTTTCTTGGAACATATTCAGATTATTTCAGATGGTTTATACCTTCAAAATGTTATTAAGAAAATACCTTAAGCTAGTTGACATCTTCACCTTTTCTAGGTACTTTAATGTCTATTTTTAAAAATTAGCCATTTCAAGAAGCTAACATTCAAAGACCTTTTATAAGTTGCTCTCATGCACCCTCTATATTTTGTGGTTGAGATTTGCTCCCATCTAATACACAATACCTTCAGTCTTTTCCTCATGTTGATTCCTTCTCTATAGCCCAAAACATTAGACTATCTTCATACTGCCTTAAAACTGTAAGAAGTGTTGGATTTTTCTCACCTTTTTTCCCTGCTCAAGGTAAATTTAAGCAAACTTTTCTTTCTTTTTTTTTTTTTTTTTTTTGAGACGGAGTTTTGCTCTGTTGCCCAGGCGGGAGTGCAGTGGTGCAATCTTGGCTTACTGCAACCTCCACCTCCCGTGCCACCATGCACAGCTAATTTTTGTATTTTTTAGTAGAGATGGAGTTTGGTCATATTGGTCAGGCTGGTGTTGAACTCCTGACCTCGTTATCCGCCTGCCTCGGCCTCCCAAAGTGCTGGGATTATAGGCGTGAGCCACCGCACCCAGATGATTTGACAACTGGGAGGTCAGTGTTGTCCTTTGAGAGAGCAGCTTTGGTACTGCAGGAATAGAAATCAAGGCTGGTGAACACAGGAGTCTCCATAGCATTTTCTCAGTCCTTGTCCTGTTTATCTTTCTAGACAAATAATGTTACTAAAGTGTCTTGAAGCTGTCCTTTTTTGTCTGCTGGAACATCTCTTTCCTGCCTCCCTCTGATATTTTTTAACACAGGTTCTTTTGTTAGATTATGATATACAGAGGCTTCAACTTTGCCTTTCTTCTCTCACTAAAAATTACTCCTAAGACAGATGTATCTACTTCCAAGGTTTCAATTCTCACCTTTCTACAAATGACTTCTAAGTCATTGCAGACCCAAAATTCCAACAGTTGACTCATCTCCACAAATCCCATTAACACTTTAGACTAATCATTTTTCATCCCTACTCTGTATACTTTCTCCTGATTTCTTAGTATTTTTCTTAATGATTTCTCTGTCACCTAAGAATCATCTAAGCTGGAAGCCCAGAGTCATCTTATACATAATCTTCTTTCCTTGTCTTCTTCTACATTGTCTTCTCCAACCTGTGCTCTTTCTCAACACCACCCCCCACCACCCATCATCTTAGTTCATGTCTTTATCCCTTCTCATCTAGACAATTGAAATAACCTGTAACCAATTTTTTCTCCTTAACTTACCTCTGCATTGCTACAGTTTGCTTCCTGATTCACATATTTGATATTATCTTCTTGTTCAAAATATGATTTACTCTTTCCATTTGTTTATAGCAAAACCCCTAAGGTTCCTATAAAATTTAAGACCATTTACAACTTGAATCCAGCTTACTTTCCAGCTCCCTTCTTTTAGCTCTCTCACCTACCTCACCACCACTTCACCATGTCCCTTTGCCCTAAAAAGCCTAGAGTTCCCATCATATCACACTGTTCCCTTTGCCTCACATTTCTGTACCCATGAGAAAGAAAATGTTACTAGAATGTATTTAATTTTTCACATAAAGATGCTATAAATTCCAAGATTATCTTGCACTTCTAAATATTTTCAAGGCATTCAATTTTGAGCACATGGAGTACTATAAATAAGTAACAGTGTAGCTGATGTGTTTTTTACTTTGGGGAATAAAAACACAAAGTGAAAGTTGTATTTACTGTTACCTAAAAAATTAGATAAACCTATATATAATGGCAGACATTTAAAATCATGCCCTAAAATGCAATTTTGGGCTCTACAGCCAGTGACTTACAAAGAGGACGTGCTTAGTGAATATTGAATCGTGCTGAATTCAGATCTTGCATCTGAAGCTGTATCTGATGTCATTACTACATAGATTAAGAAAACTCAATATGGCACTAGCTACTTTAGCAAGACAAGTTCTAGTAAGTAGAACAGGTCAAAAGTACTTAATAGTGGTTAAGAAACAAAAATATTAACAGTTGTTTTCATATATGAAAGTACAAATCACAAAAATTAAATACTAATATACCTGAAATAAGCAAAAAACAAAACAAAACAAAAGCAGGATCATGTAGGAATTCAGCATAGAATCATTTCTACTATACAACTTGCATACAACCAAAGGGATAATTAAGATGCATATGCATTCAAGCTTTGAAAATGCCAAACAGCAACCCATGAAAATATCGAAATTAGCTCAGTCGAGAGAGTGGGATAGCACATTGTACTTCAAACTCAGTACCTATTAGCAATATAAGGAGGTTACCTGACTGCTAGTTTCACTTATGGCTTCTAGGAGTTTTTCAACTGCTGCTTGTAGTTGAGAGCTAATGTGTCAAACTGAGTGCTTATTCCAAGCACTTGGTACCTGAAGATTTCCTCTGCTTTAATTTGTTAACTTTGTACACTTACTGATAACAAATATGTACTACATGCAATAAAAGATTAGGTAATGCCTCTTCAGGAAACTTCACTGTTGGGTTGTAACATCTGCCACAAATGAGTATTTAATGTCAGTGGTGAATAGCCTGTGCTTTTATTATAGCTTAGAGAAAACACTTGGAAAGCTTATCTTCTACCCATGCAAACTCATTTTTTTTACATAAGAAATAAGAATAGTGTGGGTAATGTAGATAACAATGTCCATAATTAAATTAGAACTGCTTGTCAGCCTAATCTTATCCCAGTATTCCTCTTTAAAAAGTAGCAAGCAACAAAATGGTCTTAGTTCCTTTTACTGTGTAGCCAGAGCAGATTATATTGCCCAGTGTTGGCTCAAAAAGTTAGTCATCACCAGACAAATTCAAGCACTTATTTCTATCCTGTAATCCCAATGTAGGCTCAAAAGTCAGTCTGCTCCCGACAAATTCAAGCACTTATTTCTATCCCTCTGTACACTTGGAACGGCCTACTGCACAATGCTTCTCTTTTCTTGTGATTGTTTATGTGTTTGCTCATTACATTGTAAAGTCGTCAAGGGTTGGAGCCAGATCTTGTCACCTATATGTCCCTATTACTTAGCAAACTCTGCACGGTGGGCATGTAGTAAATTTCTGTTGATAGGTATCTCAGAAATTTTTATCAAAGAAAAAAATACTGAATTACCCAAATAATTTCTGCAAATTCCTGTTAGCATAACATTTCTCATTCTTTTGCTTGGTTATTGAATAATATTATATCCTATATTTGCATATTTTATTTGTTTGGTTGCAATGTTATTTTAAAAGACCTTACAATTTCCATGATTTCCAGTGTTACTTTGATTTTGTTTTATAACTTTAAAAAAGTATGATTATTATAATTAATTTATGCCTTTAAAATACTGTTATTCTAGTTACAGATGAATCCATTCCCTCTTATTCTGGAAGTGATATGCCAAGAAATGACATTAATATGTGGTCAAAAGTAACTGAGGAAGGAACAGAGCTGTCACAACGACTCGTGAGGAGTGGTTTTGCTGGAACTGAAATAGACCCTGAAAATGAAGAACTTGTGCTGAACATTAGCTCTCGACTACAAGCAGCAGTTGAAAAACTCCTAGAAGCCATAAGTGAAACTAGCAGTCAGGTAACCTCCTTATATTGCTAATATGTACTGAGTTTGAAGTACAATGTGCTATCCCACTCTCTCGACTGAGCTAATTTCGATATTTTCATGGGTTGCTGTTTGGCATTTTCAAAGCTTGAATGCATATGCATCTTAATTATCCCTTTGGTTGTACAAAAGTTGTATAGTAGAAATGATTCTACACTGAATTCCTACATGGTCCTGCTTTTGTTTTGTTTTGTTTTTTGCTTATTTCGGGTATATTAGTATTTAATTTTTGTGATTTGTACTTTCATATATGAAAACAACTGTTAATACTTTTTGTTTCTTAACCACTATTAAGTACTTTTGACCTGGATCTTGGCCAGTATTAATGCTGTTGCTGCTACTTGATACCATTGTAAATTATGAGCAGTTTAGTTAATGCAACATAGTATTTGTCTTTTGAGGAGCAACGTGAAAAATGTTAAATAAATCAAAAATGGTCAGTGGTTCCAATAGGCTACTTGTTTTTAACAGGCTATTAGAGAGAAACTTCTTCAAAATTTGTTAATGCTGCCAATAGTCAAGCGTGTGGGCTCCGCCTGAAACATTCACTTCCCCAGGCCAAGACCACAGCTCATAGCAGCTGTCTGCTTATGTGACCAGGTAGTGAAGTACAGTAGGAGTCTGACCATGGCATTTTCCAGATTTTTCCCAATTTGTTAAATACTAAATCCACACTGTGTTATTTAGCTTCTACTGTATTGTTGTAATTTAAATATCACTGAATGGATCACAAAAGCTTTGTGTAGAGCAGTAACCCTACGGCAGAGACTTTTCAAAGTGCAGCCCTTAACCAGCAATATCAACATCACCTGGTGATATGTTCAATATATAAATTCTTAGGCCCTACCCCAGACCTACTGAAATTGGGAGCCCAGCAACCTGTGTTTTTAATAAGTCCTTTATATGATTCTGATTCACACTAAAGTTTGAGAACCACTAATCTGTGGATTATTAGTATAATGTTCACATTGTTCTCTGGCTTAATTTTGAAGTACTGTACTAACATCTTTTATATAAAATGTTAAGCTAATTGTTGACATTAGGTATAATAAGTTATAAAAATCAGATATTTCTTAAGTAAATAATATTTTTCAGCATTTCGAATAGGAGTTTTAAAAACTTTCTTTTAAACTAATTTCAGTTCGGTTTTTAATCTTCCATGGATAGATGCTTAAAGCCATTGATTTCTTCAGAATAGTCTCATTAATTAATAACTAAAATTATCTTGAACCTGATGAATATTTTTAACGGATTGACACAGAATAATGTGTAATATCTTTGTGAAATAACTTATATTCCACTTTCCTCTTCAACATGTCATTATTTGGTTCTACTTTATAATAGTATACTTCCCTTTAACTTTCTTTTTTTTTTTTTCACTTATTATAACAAAATGTAAAACAGCTGGGAGGCATGCTGTGATATCTTTGTGTTTTCAGTGAAAGAGAAATTCAGGAAAATAGCTTTGTACAGAATACTCTGAGACCAGAGAAGAGAGCAGCATCTGACATATTAGAGTATACTGGGGACCAAGTAAAGTTTACTGTGGGACTTGATGCTTAAGATGAGTCATTCAGTGGCAAAATTTTTGAATATTAGGGCACTGGACAAGAATCTGCCTTATAGGCTGATTGGCTGATTTCATAATGTGTATTATAGGAGTTATTTACTTTAGATATTTTATTTGAGGGGTAACTTGCCCAGTGGTATGTCCAAGTCCATATTATAATACATTTCTTGCAATGGTTTTACCTCTCTTTTGCTTGGACAGGCTACCATACAATCAGGCTTATATTTACTTTATTGTTAGGTTCCTACTGGTTGGGATAGCTTTCATGATAGTATTAAAAAGAATGCTTAAGAGACTGCCGTAAGGCCCTTAGAGAGGTAATCTCTTTAACACAATCCTTATTCAGTAGTCTCTTTGTGGTTCTGCAGAAATGTTATCTTTGAGAGTATGGTTTCACAGATTCTAGACTCCTGGATCAGGTAGAAATCAAAACCATTCTCTTCTTTGGGAATAGTTTTTCAGCAATTAAAGTTTTCCAGAATCCAGAAGTATTATTTAGAGCCATAGGAGGTTATTTACCAAGAGATTCCCCTAGGCCTTGGAAGAAATTAATGGATATGTAATTTATTCCCATGGTGTGATTTTCACTATAAGAAATTTTCATGGGCTTCCTAATACTTGTTTTTAAGAATTACAACATCAAAGCTACATGCTTCTATATTTTCTCCAGAAAAGGAATCTGAGGATGAAACAGTAGTATAACTTAAAATTTTGTTTTGTCATTGTTGTGTTTGAAACATAACTGTAATCAAAATACTGAAACACATTTTGCCTTCAAGTATTGTCCCCAGTATGCTCAGCATTGGTCCAGGCTCCGTCAGGGTAATGTTTACAGGTTATAGGCCCTCTGTGAAATAACTTAGAAAAATAGGGAACAAATCAAAGTCCAAAAGAGAGCAACAAAAGTGTTTTACAGTTTGAAGAAAATAATTTATGAAGAAAGGTGGTTAAATGGTTTGACATTATTTGATTTAAGTAAAGCTATTTTGTTTAGGAAACAACTCTATGCTGCAAATTAATAGCCTTCAAATATACATTAAAATCTCAATTATCTGAAACCCAGGGATAATAAGCTAGTCTGGATAATTAAAAGTGTGTTCTTCTAAGTCATATTATAACTATCTTTGATTGCAAGAAGTTTTATATGCTTTCTAAAACAGAGGGGAAGCAAGATAGAATATAATTTGAATTATTCTAATTCAGTCACCTTTCTGAACATCAATTAATATATCATCAGTTAATATTACTGTTGTTACAAGGGCTGTATGCCACTATCCTGAATCACCTTTCTTTAATACTGCTTTTTTGAGTCTTTTTTGCCCTAATTTTACTCTATTTTCTTTGTGTAAGCTTCTTACCTTGACCTGTGTTCCTAATATAACTACTTACTTACAGGTTTTTGTTTTACATGGATGGAAGCAAGTTTTACATGCTTCCAAAAATGGGTGAAAAAATAGACTATAATTTCAATTATTTTAGTTCCAGGTCATCTTTATGAACATGAATTAATATAATATTCCATCAATTAATATACTGTTATGAGGACTCTTTGCCCTATACTGTGATCATCTTAATCTGTTACTTTTTTTGGTCCATTTTTCTCAGTAATTTCTCTCTCGTATCTTTGTAGTTAGTTCTTATCCTGACCTAAATGTTACTGTTTATAAAGGGCTGTTTCTTACTTACAGATTTTGTTTTTGCTTCAAATAAGAGAATTTGGATATCAGATTATCAAAACAAACTGTAGTTTGCAGAGGGAGCAGGGAAAGAGTATTTTAAGAGGTATTTGATAGGCTAAGCGTGGGTCCCCACAGTTCATAAAGCTGAGCAGCTGGGATATTGACAACTTCTATCTGCCAAAGCCCCACTAAAGTCACATTTAGCTGCAGCAGTGATAAGATTAGTCCTCTATCTTGTATAGGTGTTTATTAGGGTTTCTTATGCAACCCTCCAGTTAGCCTGTGAACGTGCTTTGTTAAGACACCTTCACAGACTAACTGGAGGGTCGCATAAGAAAGCCTAATAAAAAAATTTTATTGCCTAGTCCAGACTTGTAAGAGGCAACTGCCCCTCCACAGGAAATACAATCCATTTCCCTGTAAATTCTGGCTTTCTGTAGAAAATGTAATTTTCTCTGCCCTAATTATTAGTCTACCTACCGTGAAATGGTTTGAGTACTGGCTTACACAACTTTATAGTGTGAGTCACTGTAGAATGGATTTGTGTTGGTATTACCTGCCTTCTTTAGCATGCATTTTTCCATTTAAATAAAGGCTTTGTGGATTTAGGATATTTAGTTACTGGATAGAAAAACACCAAAATGAGGGCTTTTTCCTTTCTTTAAAACAACTTTCATTATTGAAAATCTTTTAATATTAAAAAGTAAGTTGTTGATCTAAAATTCTGAGTGGCTTACTTATTCACCATTGCCCAGGTTTCTGGAGCTACCCAGAGGCTATTATATATAACTTGGGCTTTTAAAGTTTAGTCAGGGTTCATAGGATACCTTAAGTGGTATAGTTTTCAACTATTATATACAGTGCAGCTTTAAAAAGAATTTTTTCCTTAACATGTACTCCATAAACAATATGAAAATAGGTTATAACTGAAATGTCTATATTTAGTTTTAGTGGCTGCTTGAAAGATGAGTAATATTTCTAAGGAAATAGCAAAAGTAAGTTTTTAATTTTCCAGAAATAATTATGGTTATTTTATATACTTGAATAACTTATTACTACTAATGTGGACTCCAACATAATTAATTTCACATTTTTAAATTAAAGCAATTTTTTAATGGAATGGAAAAACACCAGCTTATCTTACAGACATTATAAACTTGTCTAAATGCCCTTTCAAAGTCGTGACGTGGAACTTGGATCCTGTCTGGCAGGCTTTTTTGTGGGCGTATTAATTCACATTCCACCTGTCAGTGTACCTATAGGTAAAGACATTAAACCACACCCTCTGTTCTGACCTTTTCCTCAGGGGACACTGACTAGAATCCTTTGGCTCAGCATGAGAGGCTACTTGAATAGCTCAGTTCAAAAGAGCTTTTCCTTTTGAATAGAATGAAGCAGCAAGAGCAAGGGAAATAATGTTGCAACTGGATTTCTCAAGACTGCTACTATGGAGATTTCAAACTTGACCTTCCCTGCCAGGTTCTGCTTTGAAGGCTTACTTACTACTACAGACATCGTTGATACTAAAAGCAGTTTTATTGCTCATCTAATTAGATGTTTATATTTTTATTTTTCTCTTCAAGGACTTAGTTATGCTAGTTTAAAAGGTGTTTTTGTTTGCTTGCTTTTTGTTTTTTGTTTTTTTTGGTTTTTGTTTTAGTTTGGGTTTTTTTGAGGGGGGATGAAGATTGATAAGAGACCTAAGTTTTTTTAGATTTTTAGTTTTTTTCCTGGACTTTCCCTTCCTTTTATTGTGCAGTTGTATGAATTAATTTTATAATGTTTATTTGGTAGTGCTAAAGAAGGAAATTTTTATACTGCTATGATAGATCTTGATAAACTAAAAAGAACTTTTTAATGTACTAGAAAACTGATAAAGCAAATTAGGAAGCTTGGCAGCTATATCTTCTGAGATGGATTCTTATAGCACCTATTTGGCAACTGTCAAACTCAGTGGCTCATGGTTAGAAGAGCAAGATGAAGACATTTATGAGGTTGAGTCTCGCGTGCCTTTACCACATCCTTTTCCTCTATGTGAACATTTGGATGAAAATAACTCAGTAATTGTTAATACTTCTATTTTCCATATTATTCATAAAAGAAATGGACATATATTAAAGCTTATTTCTAAAATTTCACTGCCTACCCCTCCTTATTCAGTAAGTATAAAAAATATTCATTTAAACACTATAATGAGAAATTAAATTTTCAGTGTCTATATTAATGCTAAATGGGATAGAACCTTGTTTGATGTGTTACTATTCATTCATCCTAGATGTATTTAAGGGCTAAATTTGGTCTGAGTTCCAACTTGGCTATGTTTTTAATTACAGAAAGCAGAATGAGATAATATTACATTTCTCCAATGCCAGGCAGGTTGTTTAAAAAGATCTTGCTTTTCCTTAAGATTCTTGCTTTTGTACGTTTGTGATGCCCATCCTGAATAAGAATGGAATAATTATTATATTTGAGAGACTGGGTATTGTGATACTTATAAAACAGCTAAGTGAATTGTCATTGAGCAATTAGGAAATATTTACAATCATGATATATTGGATGTTCCAGACAAGGAAAAAAGGAAGCTTGGGTTCTAATTTTAATATTCTTAACAACCTAAGGAACTTATTTTTTGTTTTTAATATGCCTCCTAATCTTGTGGAACAAGATCCCTTTCTGCTTTTTATATGAAATATATTTTATAAACATTGTTAAGGATAAGTGTTTAGCATAAAGAGGCTTGAATATTTAGTATTTCAGGTTCACTACAAGTTATTCAGTATAACTAAAAGTTATTCAGCACTTTTTATGACTTTCATAGCTTTATCCTGTACTAGTTAATATTTAACAAGCCAAATGGTTTTCAGAATAGTTTTGCTACCTCTTTTGCAACTTTTATATTAAAGTGACAGAATATTAACTGATACTTTACATGTACTTTTAATGTAATTATAAGTTTCTTAAATATTTTGGAAATACTGAATATTAAATTTTATACACTTCATATTGTTATAGATATTAGAAATAAACATACTCTGAATGGAAGAAGATTCTTTATTAAGTATTTGGATGAACATTTGAAGGGTGTTTCTTATCTCCCGATAAAGTATGAATCTCATCTGCTGTAATAAATGAAATTTTTTTGCTAAATTTACTATATTTGATTGTTCCAACTTTTTTGTTTTATTTTATAAAACTGAAGTTTTTTCTTGTGGTTTTATGATAAATATTTAAATGGATTATAAGCCTGGTTAAATCTTGTCAAGAAGTAGAACATGGAAACAAAGACTTATTTAATTTACTTACCTAAAGCAAGCATTTATTTTGTTGTAAATCCTTTGTTGTATCCCTATAGTAAATTTGAAAAAGGAAAAAAAATGCATATCTTTTTAGTCATGTGTATTTACTACATAGTCTTTATGTAATGAACAGAAAAAAATGACATACGTGTATATAAAAGCAATTGATATGTTTTTAAAATATGGATTGTGACTGTAAATTCAGGAAGTAGTTGTATATAAATTAGTTCATACTTTATTATGTGTCTTTATAATAAAAATTAATGATATTAGTTATCCACACTTAAAGGAAAAACTCTTGCCAACTAAAAGTAAAAATACTCCTTTTGAGATAACATATTACGGGTATTTTAGGAAATAATTTATAATTTAGAATGTAGGATTAATTTTCTATTATGAGTCTTAAATGTGTATTCATATTAATTTTAAACACGTTATAAGTGATATTTGAGATATCCTATTAAAACAAGAATAATCGTATACTGGATATTTTGGAAATTGATTTAGAGTGGCCATCAAAAACTATAGTTACTCTAAAATCCATTTGCTATGACAAATGCTGCTCGGATGTGAAAAGCAGAAGTCTTTAACAATAAAGTATTATTTAATATTATCATGATTTTGTAATACATTTTCGATATGTGTCTATAAATTAGAAACCACTACATTTGATCATATTTTAAGCTTAAAATGTAGTAATATCTTTTTAATGCACAAAGTACTTTATATATAAATTTACAAATTCTTATGACTTTACTGTGAGCCTGTTATTAATATATGTGATGGTTTTTTGTTAAAATTTTTGGACTAAATACTAGAAACATTTGAGTTCAATTTTTTCCCATGTAATTGTTTCAGTAATAACAGATAAGCAGGTACTAATATTCAAAAGCTCAGAAAACTAAGGCAGAGACAGTAGTTTTCTGCAATTTCACAGAGCTCATTTAGTAGCAGTGATCAAGAGAGCTTTGGCCTTAAGCCTCCTATCATCTTAAAAAATTGTTTAAGAATATAGTCAGTATGTGCTATTGGTAGTATTTTAAGGAATCTGTGTTTATGGTTAATGTCTGTGTATTGTAAGGTTTTGAAAATAAGCTGAATATTCATAGGAGCTTTAGATGTTTCACAAATGGACAGAAATACAAAGCTTTTAGTTAAGTACATGGATTATAAATATAATTTCATTTTGTTGTGCCACTGGGGTTTTGTTAATTGATGCCACTGTATTAATCATGTATTATTAGTACCCCACAGTATACAACAGATACTGTAGGAGTCACAATCCATAAATACTAAATGTAAAAAAGTTTATCATAGACCATATAGCTACATAAAATTCTTTGGCAAATACAGTAAATGCCTGTGCTTTGTTAATTTTATATCTTCTTTTATATGATAAACTACACAGCCATTGATTTAAAGTGGCTTATATCCAAAAGAAGCATATTCTTTTGTTCTGTAAAGCTAGAATATGTCACTTTACAGAAAGTTGTGCACAGCCAATATACATGTCTCCTCTGATTTATCCTGCCTGCTAATCTTAGCATGCACTGGTAATATCTATATGACTACAATTCAGTAGTATCTCTTTATTTTAAAATCCCCCTTTTTTCCAGCTTTAATGGGGAACGAAACTAGTATTTCCACACTTTATTTTCTTTTATGTATTGTTTCCCTCTTTGTTTAGCTTGAACATGCGAAAGTTACACAGACAGAGTTGATGCGTGAGTCGTTTAGACAGAAACAAGAAGCAACAGAGTCCCTTAAGTGCCAAGAGGACCTTCGAGAGCGCCTTCATGAGGAGTCCAGGGCCAGAGAACAGCTAGCTGTGGAGCTCAGTAAGGCTGAGGGTGAGCAATTTGCCATTGACAACTAAGGGTACAGAAATTTCAGTCTTAAAATAGAGACTTTTGATGCACAGCCAGGTTTGGAAGCCGTCAATCCAATTTAGAGTGACCATTAAAAAGTACTTGTGGTTTATCTTCAAAGTTCCTCCAAGCAATTTTTAAAACTATATATATATATTTAATTATAAAAAGAATTTATAGAGTTACAGAAAATATTAATAATTTCAGAAAATACCAAAAAGGATGGTGGTGACTTGTTACCATAATCACACCATCTTAAGACAACCTTTGTAATTTAAAGATGAGGAAACTGAAGCTTAAAGATGTTATTAAATTGTTAAAGGGCACCATTACCATTAAATGGTGATTCCAGGCTTTGAATCTCTAAAGCCCTATGCTCTTTTTAATTCTTCTCTGCTGTTACGGGTGTTGGCCTTCTAAAATTACTTAAAATACCAACTTTCTAATTTTCAAAATGTGATTCATTTCACAAGCATCTAATTTGTATTAAGCTTTTCAGAAACTTATTGTTTATATCTGTTTAATAAAGTGAGTTACACCTACGTGATGTGATACTTTAGTATAGCAAAGTATTAGAAAATTCAGAGAAATTTCATGTTTTTGCACAATGGTAAACAACGAAATGTCTGCATTGACCATACCCTATTAAAGGTTGATAGTTGTTGTGATGAGCAGCAAATTCATTCAAGACTTTTAATAGGTTGGAATGATGGAAAGTTTTGCTAACAGTACACCTTTTGTTGTTTATATTAAAACCTAGTGGTTGAATCTGAAATGAATAATAGTTCTATTTTCTGTTAATTTTATTTTATAGGTGTCATTGATGGCTATGCAGATGAAAAAACTCTTTTTGAAAGGCAAATTCAGGAAAAAACTGATATAATAGATCGTCTTGAGCAGGAGTTGTTATGTGCAAGTAACAGATTGCAAGAATTGGAGGCAGAGCAACAGCAGATCCAAGAAGAAAGAGAATTACTGTCCAGACAAAAGGAAGCTATGAAAGCAGAGGCAGGCCCAGTTGAACAACGTATGTATTTTCTGAATTTGTATGAAACATTCCACTGATTTTATTTATATTCTTCAAAGGCTTAAAGTGGCTTTTTTCCTCTTTCAGTGCCATTATTCATATATTTTATAGAGATTTGAAAAATTATAAGAAATCTACCTTATAGATAAATGTCTCATTAGCCAATCATGTGGAATTAGGTTTGTTTTTTTTTTTCTTTGTCTTTTTCTTTTTCCTTAGGCAGATGTTAACAGGAAAAGATAGTTCTTCATTTATCCTCAGACTTCTGCTTCAAGAGAAAGCTGCAAATAATGAGGCAGGATATTTTTAAAATTGTATAAGGTTTAGTTCTAATAGCAGAGAAGCAGCAAAAATGTATACTTGGATTAAATATCTAAAAGCACTGATCTGGCACTAGTAATGAGCAGGTGGAGGGGATTTTTGACTTGCAAGCAGAGTAGATTTAAAAAGGTCAGTGGCTGGTAGGCTGACATCTAGTTTAATCTAAGTAGGAATTCAATAATACTTAAATGTATAAGTAACCTTTCATTTTTCATTAAATAAGAAATTAAGTAATATCTTGAAGTGAAAGTTTGTTTAGCAGTAAATGTCAGTCTTTGTAACGATGGAACTTTAAATCCTGTTTACCATGTCCTCTTTGATGTTACACATGCAGTTGGATTTTTAAATGTTTTAATTTTTCACTTATTTCATTTTATCAGTTTAGAAATACAGCATACATTTTTGTAATATAGTTAAGTTTCTTCCGGCTGCTCAAATTAATTAAACAGGTTTAGTTTAGAATTTTTAATGTGGAAAGTATATGTCATGCAAAATATTCAAGAAATACTGGAACTTCTCAAAATATTACCAGTGATAATCAGTGTCTTCAACTCTTGCTTTTGATACGTGTGTGTGCATGTGCATTATCCCATTTTAGGAAGTGGGAGACATATAAATTATACTTTTGTTTTGTCTTTTTTTGTTGTTTTTCTCTATTCTCCTAGGACTAGTAGATGCTGCAGTCGATGCAGCAGCGGGAGCAGGTGTGTGTATACAATTGCATGGCCAGTGTTTGGGTGGTAGACTTGAAACTCCAAAATGTGGGTGACCTCTGGATTTTCAACCAACTAACATCTCTAGTTTTGCAGTGTTGCTGTTGTTTCATACTTACAGTTTTTAACAACAACAAAAAAACTTTTCTTATGCTAAAAGTACAAATTTTCATTGAAATTAACATCTGAGATTCATACTGACCATCATCTTATGATGTCTGTTTTTGTATAGAGCTTAAAACCATTTTGATTTTGTTTGTTTGTTTGTTTGTTTTTGAGATGGAGTCTTGCTCAGTCGCCCAGGCTAGAGTGCAGCGGTGTGATCTCAGCTCACTTCCACCTCAGCCTCCTGAGTAACTGAGACTACAGGCGGGAGCCACTACACCTGGCTAATTTTTTGTACTTTTAGTAGAGATGGGGTTTCACCATGTCGGCCAGGCTGGTCTCGATCTCCTGGCCTCAGGTGATCCACCCACCTCGGCCTCCCAAAGTGCTGGGATTACAGGCGTGAGCCACCGTACCCAGCCAGTTTGATTTTTTTAAGAAAACATTTAATAAATATATTAAACTCTGTCAATCTATGAGTTTTTAAAATGTTCCTTCTAGGCCGGGCGCGGTGGCTCAAGCCTGTAATCCCAGCACTTTGGGAGGCCGAGACGGGCGGATCAGGAAGTCAGATCAAGACCATCCGGGCTAACACGGTGAAACCCTGTCTCTACTAAAAATACAAAAAAATTAGCCGGGCGTGGTGGCGGGCGCTTGTAGTCCCAGCTACTCGGGAGGCTGAGGCAGGAGAATGGCGTAAACCCGGGAGGCGGAGCTTGCAGTGAGCTGAGATCCGGCCACTGTACTCCAGCCTGGGTAACAGAGCGAGACTCCTCTCAAAAAAAAAAAAAAAGAAAAATGTTCCTTCTAAATCAGGAAGTATGTAAGATGATGGTAGCAAAAGATCAATAAAATTTAATAGAGACTTTTTGGTTGATTTGTTTTTGTATTAACATCTAATATTAGTATTGTTTTAAAAGGAAAGCTGTTTTCTAGAGATTCCTAGTCCTGAGTACAATGTTGGCATACCAGTTAATTTAAAGACCCTAGGGATATGTTCTTTCCATTTTCTTCATTAGAAGATTGTTTTATTTTTACTATATACACTGTTATATTAATAATAATAGCTAACACATAGTGCTTACCATACCTCAGACACTCTTCTTTACATATATTCACTCATTTAATGCCAAAATAACTCTAAGAAATCAGTAATAATATTATTCTCAGTTTACATATAAGGAAACTAAAGGACGTCATCATAATTGTCACATGGGAGGTAAGTTGCTGAGCTAGGTTGAGCCTACAGTCTGTTCTTAAGCACTACACCATACTGCCTCTCATAAATGTCAGTTTTCCCTTGATCCACATACGTGTGACCATGCAAAAGCAACTCAGGAATATGGATCTAATAAGGAGTAAGACTAACAGGAAATTTCAATTATAGCTGTATTTGTATTTCTGTAACTCTTAGACTTGCCTTGGTTAAAGATTTACAGTGTTTGATCTTCATGTTTTTTGTGTATGCAAATAAAATTGACTTTATGGGTTTGGAATGAATTGCTTTTTGCCTGAGGTGAAGAGAGCGGTGAGTTTTTTCTGTGCTTGAATTTAATTGGACTTTGTTCTTTGCCCAATAGTAAAAATAGATTTTTTTTGGTTATTTGCTATGTTGTTTTCACAAAAAATATTATTTTTAGTGACAGGACATATTTTTGTTAATTCTGCGTAATTTTATTAATAGCTTGTTTGTTTATATAGAAGTATTTTAATATAATTTTGATATTTTCATAAGAGAATATTTACTTTCATGTGTATTTAAAATTATTCTCAGCCTTTTATTTCATGAAGGTAAAATTTGGACATAGTTATCAGGGATTTCATTATCATAATATCATTAATTATTATTTAATTCAGTATACTTTGTATTAATGTACAGAATTACTACAGGAGACAGAAAAATTAATGAAGGAAAAACTAGAAGTACAATGTCAAGCTGAAAAAGTACGTGATGACCTTCAAAAACAAGTGAAAGCTCTAGAAATAGATGTGGAAGAACAAGTCAGTAGGTTTATAGAGCTGGAACAAGAAAAAAATGCTGAACTAATGGATTTAAGACAGCAAAACCAAGCATTGGAAAAGCAGTTAGAAAAAATGAGAAAATTTTTAGATGTAAGTATTCTCAAGTTGAATATTGATTTTTCTCAGTAGAATGTTCTTTGCTAGTATACTAGCCTATGAATTTTAAATCATGAAAAGACTGTTGAATTAGTTTTTCAATGTTTTATTAGGTGTCGATTCTGCTAATTGATCAAAAAGTACTATTCCAATCATTAATTTTTATTATACAGCACTCAGAATTAAAATCAGTACATTTTATTATGTATTGAATTATACATAATAAAAATTATGAATAAGCCCCACTAGTTTACGTTTCCAAATTCAGATCAGAAGCTTATTCTAGTTTTTTATTTAACCACAGGGTAAGATAGGCAAAGAGATAATGGGCCACCACTGTTTCACCTGTAAAAGATACACACAGGTAACAGTGTGGCCTTGGAAATGGGCCTGGAACAGTGGTCATGCTGCCATTACTCTCTTCCAAAAATATGTTAAATCTCTAATTTCACATTTTTTTTTCCTTTGAGATTTCACTTAAACCTGATATTCTCTTCATAGATCAGAGAATCAGATTCTTACTCATTTTATAACTTTAGGCATAAAACCTAGATTAGGATTCAAGAAACTGATTTTCCAAACAATTTGTTTTATTTATTTTGTTTAATGGCTAAACTAACAGTGGAATTCCTCCTTTGTTCCAAAAAAGGAAATTCATTTTAAGGTGAATATTTTTTCATCCTGTATTTAATATTACTTGAATAAAAAAAGAAATGTACTTCAAATAATATTTAGATACTAATACTTGAAGTTTTGTTGAGGAGCCCAAATAGGTTATATGGCATATAAAAAATAAAATGTTGGCTGGGTGCGGTGGCTCACATGTGTAATCCCAGCACTTTGGGAGGCCGAGGCAGGCGGATCATGAGGTCAGGAGATTGAGACCATCCTGTCTAACACGGTGAAACCCCGTCTCTACTAAAAAATACAAAAAAAATTAGCCGGGCGTGATGGCGGGTGCCATCAGGAGGCTGAGGCAGGAGAATGGCGTGAACCCGGGAGGCGGAGCTTTCAGTGAGCCAAGTTTGCACCACTGCACTCCAGCCTGGGCGGCAGAGCGAGACTCCATCTCGAAAAATAAATTAATTAAAATTAAATGTTATCTTTTAAAATTTTTGTGGTTTGGGATATTCATGGTCATCAGTCCTTTGTCTTCAAACAAAACTAACATGTATCTAAAGGGGAAGTAAGAAATAATAGCTTCACTAAATACTGTTTCTTCAGCTACTGTCATTATTATTATTATTAAACTTTTAGGAGCAAGCCATTGATAGAGAACATGAGAGAGACGTATTCCAACAGGAAATACAGAAACTAGAACAGCAACTTAAGGTTGTTCCTCGATTCCAGCCTATCAGTGAACATCAAACTAGAGAGGTAAGAACTTTACTGACATTGCCCACTTTACAGTAATTTGTATCAAGTGTAAAATAAGATGCATATCATTAAAAACTTAAAAGTAGATTCTTTCTGTTGTATGTAAATCTTCAAAATCAGAAAACTTAATATTACTTAAGCAAGAGAAGGTAATTAACCCTAAAAATTGTTGGTATTGAAATTTGGAATAATTTCCACCTGCTTATGTCTTTCCCAATTAAATAAACTCTGTTTTACAATTTCTTTATTCCCATTCCTAACAAAAGTGACCAAAAGAGTTACCTCTGTTCACTCTTTACTTTCCCATTTCCTATTCTGTTATTAGTCCACTCCAGTGAAGTATCCAACCCTTGTTTCTCAGTAGGGTTATACTTTCTACTCCATTTAAATTGTTCTTGTGAAGGTGACCCAGAGCCTGACGGCTATAGCTAATATCCAACTCTGTCTCCATCCTACTCAACCATTCGGAGGCATTTATTGCAGCCTTCTGCCATAAATACTTCCTTCTCTTGGTTTCTGTGACACACCTACTCTGCTGGTCTCTATCCTCTAGTCTTTGTTTCTCCTTTTCCTACCCAACATAAATGATGGAGTGCCCCAAAACTTACACTTGGGCCTCTTCTTATTTCCTATTTGTAGCCTCTTCCCAGGCAGTCGTATATAAATGACTCCACGTCTGTATTTTCATCTGTGACATCTCTGTTAAGCTCCAGAATTGGATATCCAGTGCCTACTCTGTCTCTGCTTAGATGTCTCAAAATTAACATGTCCAAAAGAGAGTCTTGATTCCTGATTAGCCACAACCAGAGAAAGACAAGCATAAAACATTTTCCTTCTTCATCTCAGTAAATTCTGTTCCTTCTAACCTGCCCCATTGCTGAGAACTAGAATCAGCCTTGATTCCCCTCTTTTTCTCAACCCCTACTTCCAACACATTGATGGGTCAGATTGCACTACATCTTTCTGTTCTTTGCACTTTTGTTCATCCTTCTAAATCCCAGTTGTCATTTGTTTGCCTGGATCCCTGTGGTAGCCTCTTAACCAGTCTCCTGCTTCTCCGTTTTCACCCCAACTACCTATTTTCCTCATAGAAACATAGTCAAAACTCCACATTTACCAAATGAATGCTACATAAATGAGAGAGGATTCATTGTATGAATACCTAAAGATGGCTTGTCATGGTGATAAAGACATTGTGTTTAGCGTAAGGCAATCCCAGTTTGTATCACGGCTCTGCCATTTACTAGGTAATGACAATAACTACGTCAGTTAACCTCTGAAATCTCTGTTAATTCATTTCTAAAATAGAGATCATAATAGCACCCACATCATAGGAGTGTTGAGCTGGCACATAGTGAACACTTTAGTATTATTTCTGAAAACAATTTTTATTTTGAATGTAATTTCTGAACAGTTTAGTGGGTTTCATTTCTCTTAAAAGAAAACCAAAGAAGTACAGAGTGCCTATAAACTCCTTGTAATAAAATGTTATCTACTAGAGTAGTACAAAAGTTATCAGTCTCCACAGTTTCTAGTTATTGCCCCATTTCTGACAAACATATTTTCGGCTTTTAAAAAATAGTCATTTAGGGACCGGGCGCGGTGGCTCAAGCCTGTAATCCCAACACTTTGGAAGGCCGAGGCGGGTGGATCACAAGGTCAGGAGATCGAGACCATCCTGGCTAACACGGTGAAACCCCATCTCTAATAAAAAAATACAAAAAATAAGCCGGGCACGGTGGCAGGCGCCTGTAGTCCCAGCTACTTGGGAGGCTGAGGCAGGAGAATGGCGTGAACCCGGGAGGCGGAGCTTGCAGTGAGCCGAGATCGAGCCACTGCACTCCAGCCTGGGCGACAGAGCGAGACTGCGTCTCAAAAAAAAAAAAAAGTAGTCATTTATTGTAGTTCAAAGAATATTTAACCTGTCATTTCCTATTATGTCGTTTTCTTTTACTTGAAAGGTTGGCCTGCTTCACTCATGAAACTTTTAAGAAACTAACAAAGATGTGCATGTTTGATTTTTTTTTTTCTGTTGCACCATTTTATTGTACCTACATTGTTGCCTTTTTTTTTTTTTTACCTTACTCCAAATCTTAATCAACTTATTAAAGTTTCTCCTCAGCAACTTTTTTTTTCCTTTTTTTTCTTTTTCTCTTTAAAACCAACTGCATGTATCAGTGGCTTTATTGCTATCATCCTTGAACCTGAAATTATAGTTAAGCTTACATTCTTTTAGTGTTCTGAGAAATAACTGTCGTTTTTTAGATAATTTCCTCGGAATATTTCACTGAAAAGAAAAAGTAGAATTTTACTTTATTTCTTACCATCACATGTTGCTTTTTTTAAAGTAAGCTTTCCTTCCTCACTTTCCTTACAGTACTACTAATCCTTCCTGTATTCTTCTGTCACAGAACCATTCACTTGAAGGGATCTCCATATTATTCTTAGGGAATAGGTCTTGGCACACATCATTATTTTGGTTAAAGGAGAAACGAAGACTAGAGACACTTAGGGAAACCCTCAAGGTGCGCAGATCCCTCTCACTCCCCTTCATCCTTGTCTCTTTCCTGGGCTGATGGAATGTATAGATTGAAAAAGCTTTCCCAATGACTGTTTTCAAAATATAGTCCATAAAAGATTTATTTAGGTCATTTTATCTCATACAAGAGTAAATCAGTACTCTACAAATTTCTCATCTTTATTAGGATTTAGTGTGGTTGTGCCATTAGATAATTCAGCCTTATGAAAAATGCATTTTTCCCCTCTTCCTAGGTGGAGAAAGCGTTAGTCTTAAGAGAAAGAACTTTTTTTAAAGGATTACTTGAAAGCAATATTATTTGTGATCTACTAGCATTGCTTAATTTTTTCAACTTGTAAAATGTCACCTTTGTTGAAGACAGTAGTTGCTATCTTTATACAAAGTGAAATTAGCATAACATTTAAAAATGCTTTTTGGAAAAAAAATTTTTGAAGTGAAGATATGTTTTATATGCATTGAGTATTCTTTAAAATGCTTGAGAGAAGTGTTTCAGATTTCAGATATTTTGAATTTTGTAATATTTGCATTATACTTACCTATCCAGCAGCCTAATTTGAAATGTGAAATGCTCCAATGAGCATTTCCTTTGAGCATGATATCAGTGCTCAAAATGTTTCAAATTTTGACCTAGGCTTGTTGGTGTGCATCTGTAGTCCCAGCTACTCAGGAGGCTGATGCAAGATCGCTTGAGCCCAGGAGTTTGAGGCTGTAGTGCATGATGATCGTGCCTGTAAATAGCCACTGCATTCCAGCCTGGGCAACATAATAAGACTCCATTTGTTAAACAGACAAACAAAAAAGTTTCAGATTTTGTAGCATTTTGGATTGTAGATATCCAAAATGAGAGGTAACTCAACGTATACTAACTAGCTTGCTGAAATTTTTTTTAATTAAATTTTTTGCCTCTTATATTTCAGGTTGAACAGTTAACAAATCATCTGAAGGAAAAAACAGACAAATGCAGTGAGCTTTTGCTCTCTAAAGAGCAGCTTCAAAGGGATATACAGGAAAGGAATGAAGAAATAGAGAAACTGGAGTTCAGAGTAAGAGAACTGGAGCAGGCGCTACTTGTGAGTGCAGATACTTTTCAAAAGGTGTGGCATTTTATTTGGGCTAACTTTATTAAGTGTTTTAATGAAGAATGCTCTTAAATTAATTTGTCAACTTCTTTAGGTATTATTACATAATATGTTTATGTCTCTGTTGACATCATAACCATTTCTGTTTGTTCTTATTTCCAAATGTTGCTTGCATGTCAGTCCTGAGAAGGGAAGAGTTTTTTTTTGTTGTTGTTGTTTTGTTTTTTTGAGACCTAGTTTCGCTCTTGTTGCCCAGTGTGGAGTGCAATGGTGCAACCTCAGCTCACCACTACCTCCGCCTCCTCAGTTCAAGTGATTGTTCTGCCTCAGCCTCCCAAGTTGCTGGTATTACAGGCATGAGCCACCACACCCAGCTGATTTTGTATTTTTAGTAGAGATGGGGTTTCTCCATTTTGGTCAGGCTGGCCTCAAACTCCCAACCTCAGGTGATCCACCTGCCTCAGCTTCCCAAGTGCCAGGATTACAGGCTTGAGCCACTGTGCCTGACCAACTTTTTAATTATTCGCTAATTAGAAGTACACTTTCTACTTCTAATTGGAGAAACAGGATTGCTGCTTCTCAAAAAAAACAAAACAAAACAAAACAAAAAAACAAAAACAAAAAAACTAGATAATCAGGATTTAGTTTATGAAATTTTGAGAAAATTTTTACATATTTAAAGGTAGAGGACCGAAAACAGTTTGGAGCTGTAGAAGCTAAACCAGAATTGTCCCTAGAAGTACAACTGCAGGCTGAGCGAGATGCCATAGACAGAAAGGAAAAAGAGGTAAGGAGTTTATTTTTAAATGACACAGTGTGGTTTGAATTATTTTAAATCAGTTACCTTGAAAATATTATTTGAACTGAATGGAGTTTATGATCTAAAACCACAGTCGAGGCTGTTTGTCAGCTCAGTGCCAAAACTGACCTTGAACAAGGCAGTAAACATGTGAGTAAGCTGATGGGAAAGAAGAGTGCTCCAGATGGAATAGCCAGTGTAAAGGCCTCGAAGCAGGACGAAGTTCGGAGGAACAGGAAGAAGGCCAACTTAGCAGGCATGGAGAGGGTGGAGAGACATAGTAGTGTTAGGACAAAAGGCAATATCCGTTTTCTCATAACCATAGAATAGATACTGAATTATTGCTGCTTTGCTGTGTGGTTTTTTTTTATTATTATTATATTGCCCCGGGAGATTATAGTGCTATTTTACAATATACAGAATATGTTCTTAAAACAAAAGAGTAATAGTAAATTTCTTTAATAGTAAAACAATTATATAAAGTTCTCCTTTGTTTCTCTGCCCCTTCTTCCAAAAAACTAAAACTTTACTTTCAGAACAGTGGTCACTTCAGCTTCCTAATGTATAACTTACTTAAGCCTTTGTCTACAAATATGTTTTTTAAAAACATGTCCTACTCTACATTGTCTAGCTATATCTTATCATTTAAAATGTTTAAAATTTTTTAAATTACATTTTTGTCTCTAATATTCTCAGGACACTTACTATATTTTAACAAATAGTTATGAACTTAAGCTGCTTTGAAAAATATAAGAATGATTTCGATATCAGCTAAAACTGTAGCTCAGAAAACTTGTAGATTAGAGGAGAAAAAAGGCATCTATGTAAGTGACTATAGTTGAAATCATTTCCATAAGAAGGATTATTTTCTCACTATCACATAATACTGAGTAATGTTTATCTGAGAGGCTCTTATTTATTTTGATTTTTGATTTTTTTGTGGGAGGTGGGGAGCACTTTTGTTTATATGTAACTATTTCTGTGTTTCATAGAGTTAACATTTAAAGATTTCCCTTAAACTGAGTAAAGTAATTATATGTTACCTAAAAAGACAGACCTTCTAAACTGTACCCAAAGCAATGATAGTTGACTGTGGATAGTTGATTAACCTTACTGATTTTATATTTTTATTATCTTTTGAATATAATATAGCACTGCTATCTTGAATTAAGTATCTAATAACTGTCTACCTTTTACTCAGAATCAGAGTTGTTCAAAACTATGAGAAACTTTAGAGGGCATCTGTCAACTGACTAATGTTTTTTACAGATAAGGAGAGAAGCAGTCAATGAGTAAGTGGTTAAACTGACAGCTGACCCTAATAACAGTAACAAGTACTTTATCAAAACCCATTCACCTGCCGGTAACTGGAGACTGAGAGACAGGAATATAGAGTTAAAATGTCTTTTATTGAAAATAACCTCTTAAGCATTTTTCCCCAGAAACTAGGCAAATGCTTTTAGATATCTGATGGAGTATAAAAATAAGATGTCCCTATGTATCATGGTATTTGAGATACTTTACTCTGAGAGCCCAAATTTGTATAAAACACTTTTAAGTTTATTAGAAATTTAGAAATGCAGGATGAATAAAAAGAGAAGAAAACTGCAAAAGAAAGGAGTTTTAGAATTATAGGAGGAGGTAGTAAATGGGGAAAGGATTAGAAGGATTTTAGAAAAAGATACATTCAATAGGTTTTAGCTCTCTGTAGAGCTAATGAGATCTAGCTTACAGTTCACAATAATAAATAATAATAGTTAATTTTGTTGGCCTCTGTAATTAGACAGTACTAAGTATTTTAAATGCCCTTTTACCATTAATACTTACACTCTTCCCCAGGACAGGCTCTGTTTTCTCCATTTTACAGATGTGTAAACTGAGCCTTAAGAAAGGTTAAATAACTTGATCATGGTCACACCTTAAGTGGTTGAAAAGGAGTTCCACTCAGATTTCTGTGAGTCTGAAGCCCTTGTGATACTATACTGCCAAAGCATTGGGGCCTGTTTTGTCTTGTTGGTGAGAAGTATTAAAGACTGCCATTCAACATTTAGTGAGCTCTTAATGTACGTGTAGCACCAGTATCCAATTGTAAAACCAGCACTGGACATCAAGGAATCTACTGTGTAATTAAGGAGACATATGTACATTTGAAAGAGATAAAAATACGTTTTAAAAAAGAAAACAGGCCAGGCGCGGTGGCTCACGTCTGTAATCCCAGCACTTTGCGAGGCTGAGGCGGGCGGATCACTAGGTCAGGAGATCGAGACCATCCTGGCTAACACAGTGAAAGCCCATCTCTACTAAAAATACAAACGAACAAACAAACAAAGCCAGGCGTGGTGGTGGGCGCCTATAGTCCCAGCTACTTGGGAGGCCAAAGCAGGAGAATGGTGTGAACCCGGGAGGTGGAGCTTGCAGTGAGCCAAGATCCTGTCACTGCACTCCAGCCTCGGTGACAGAGCGAGACTCCGTCTCAAAAAAAAAAAAGAAAACAAAAATAGATGCAAATTAATCCAAATATTAATTTCAATTATTAGATAAATTAAACAAGATTAAAACAAATATTTACCAGCCTCTGTTTTTAAATCTTAATGTTCTTCTGGTTGTGGGTGGTTGTAGGCTCAATAATAAGAGAGCCTCCTGGTGCTAAACTAGAGGCTGACTGAACAAGAGGAAAGAATGTCCCATAGTGTCATTTGGGGGACTTGAAGTCTCTGATATAATGCCTGAACTTCAGCTACTTAGAATAGGAAAGTTAGTGCTTTAGACCAGTGCATTTCAAACTTCAATGCACATGCGAATCACCCAGGGATCTTGTTAAAACACAAGTCTTATACAAAAATTAACTCCAGACAGATTAAAGACTAAGACCTAAAACCATAAAAACCCTAGAAGAAAACCTAGACAATACCATTCAAGACATAGGCATGGGCAAAGACTTCATGACTTAAAAACCAAAGCAATGACAACAAAAGCCAAAATTGACAAATGGGATCCAATTAAATGAAAGAGCTTCTGCACAGCAGAAGAAACTATCATCAGAATGAACAGGCAACCTACCGAATGGGAGAGAATTTTTGCAGTCTATCCGTCTGACAAAGGGCTAATATCCAGAATCTATGAAGAACTTAAACAAATTTACAAGAAAAAAACAACCCCATCAAAAAGTGGACAAAGGATATGAACAGATACTTCTCAAAAGAAGACGTTTGTGTGACCAACAAACATATGAAGAAAAGCTCATCATCACTGGTCATTAGAGAAATGCAAATCAAAACCACAATGAGATACCATCTCATGCCAGTTAGAATGGTGATCATTAAAGAGGAAACAACAGATGCTGGAGAGGATGTGGAGAAATAGGAACGCCTTTACACTGTTGGTGGGAGTGTAAATTAGTTCAACCATTGTAGAAGACAGTGTGGCGATTCCTCAAGGATCTAGAACCAGAAATACCTTTTGACCCAGCAATGCCATTACTGGGTATATACCCAAAGGATTATAAATCATTCTACTATAAAGACACATGCACACACATGTTTATTGCAGCACTGTTCACGATAGCAAAGACTTGGAACCAACTCAAATGCCCATCAATGATAGACTGGATAAAGAAAGTGTGGCACATATACACCATGGAATACTATGCAGCCATAAAAAAGGATGGGTTCATGTCCTTTGCAGGGACATGGATGAAGCTGGAAACCATCATTCTCAGCAAACTAACATGGGAACAGAAAACCAAACACCACATGTTCTCACTCATAAGTGGGAGCTGAACAATGAGAACACATGGACAGAGAGAGAGGAACATCAGACACTGGGGCCTTTCAGGTGGTGAGGGGCTAAGGAGGGGATAGCATTAGGAGAAATACCTAATGTAGATGGCAGATTGATGGGTGCAGGAAACCACGATGGCACATGTATACCTATGTAATAAACCTGTGCATCCTGCACATGTATCCCAGAACTTAAAGTATAATTTTTTTAAAAAGATTAAAAAGGAATATATAATAGAGTTCATTTCCTATCTGATTACTGTAAAACAATAAAATGAGTCAAAAGTTAAAAAAATAAAATAAAACACAAGTCTGGGGTGTGACATGGCATTTTGCACACCCAACATGCTCCCACATGATGCCAACTCTACTGCTCTTAAGACCACACTTTGAATAGCAAGGCTTCATGTCACAAAGTTAACAGTTTGGTCATAAACTGCTGTATAAAAAAAGGAAATTTCATATGAGGTAGGGCAGCAATTTGAACTTAAATAACTATTTATGTGTTGATTTTAAAATAATACCTTGTCATCAGAGTAGTTATAGAAATGTAGGAATAGTTGTAAGTACTATGTGAGATCACTTTGAAGAAGATATAATCATTACAGTTTCCAACAACCTGATAATTATTTATGTTCAGTCATTAAATGTATTTCAGTGTCTACTGAGTTTAATAACCAGTGTTACAGAAAAATTTTTAAGTGTAAGTCTTAGACATTAGTTATTAGAAGCAGGATAAGTGATAGTTTAGAGTGGAAGATTCAGAGATAAATTCCCAGGTTCAAAAGCTGGCTTCTCCACATACTTACCATGTGGCCTCAAAGCAAATTACTCCTCTCTGTGACGTCCATCCTCATCTCTAAAATGGGGATACTCAGAACAGATCTCATAAGGTTGTTACAGGGTTTTAAGAAATAATACATATAAAGCACTTTGTACAGTGCTTAGCAGTAAACTCTTTACAAGTGATGGCTATTACTACTAGTATTGATACTGTTTAGGAAATACTAAGCTAACTGGTTTTTAAGGATTTGTCAGTGTTCAGATATGGTTCTCAGTATGTGATTTGTTAGTGTGTAATCAGCGATGCCCTCTTTCAGTTTCTAAGGCAGTAAATGATTTATAGGCTGCTTTCTGAGCCACTTGTCACTAAGTGCTGCTGAGGACAGGCTCTGTTGCCTTAGATAACAGAGATGCTCCTGCATCTTAGTTTGCTTTTTGACCAGCAGTTTTGATCATGAGGTAAATACACATTTGGAAATCATTCATTCACTTTGTATTAAGTAGCAACAAACCAGTGAGCTAAATGAATATTACTGTCATCAACCAAAACCAATTTTTAAACATAAAAATAACTGAAGGGGGCCAGCCCCTCCACACCTGTGGGTATTTCTCATCAGGTGGGACGAGAGACTGAGAAAAGAAAGAAGACACAGAGACAAAGTATAGAGAAACAACAATGGGCCCCGGGGACCAGTGCTCAGCATACAGAGGACCCACGCCGGCACTGGTCTCTGAGTTCCCTTAGTATTTATTGATCGCTATCTCTACTATCTCGATGAGGGGATGTGGCAGGACTATAGGGTAATGGTGGGGAGAGGGTCAGCAGGAAAACGTGTGAGCAAAGGTCTCTGTGTCATAAATAAGTTTAAGGAAAGGTGCTGTGCCTTGATGTGCATGTAGTCCAGATTTATGTTTGACTTTACACAAGCGCCTCAGTGCAGTAAAGAGCAGTATTGCCGCCAGCATGTCTCACGTCCAGCCATAAGGCAGTTTTCTCCTATCTCAGTAAATAGAATGTATGATCGGATTTTATACCAAGACATTCTATTCCCAGGGACAAGCAGGAGACAGATGCCTTCCTCTTATCTCAACTGCAAAGAGGCCTTCCTCTTTCACTAATCCTCTTCAGCACAGACCCTACATGGGTGTCGGGCTGGGGAATCATCAGGTCTTTCCCTTCCCACAAGGCTGTATCTCAGGCTGTCTCAGTGGGGAGAAACCTTGGACAATACCCAGGCTTTCTTGGGCAGAGGTCCCTGCAGCTTTCCGCAGTGCATTGTGTCCCTGGGTACTCGAGACTGGAGAATGACGATGAGTTTTACCAAGCATACTGCCTGCAAACACATTTTTAACAAAGCACATCCTGCACAGCCCTAAATCCATTAAACCTTGAGTCAACACAGCACATGCTTCTGCAAGCACAGGGTTGGGGCTAGCATTACAGATTAACAGCATCTCAAGGCAGAAGAATTTTTCTTAGTACAGAACAAAATGGAGTTTCTTTTGTCTTCTTCTTTCTACATAGACACAGTAACAGTCTGATCTCTCTCATTCCCCTACAAATAACTAATTCTTAATATTCATCATTCATTTCAGTCTCTAACCATCAAAAAGCAGTTGCTTTACCATTATTGATAATCCATCCTCAAAATGATTAAATAAATTTCTGTTGTCCTACCTATAGGAGCTATCTAATTTTCTCCTGAATTGTGTAATTCATTTTCTCTAAGGTTTTTGTAAATCAGACCTAAGGATCTCTTGGTCTTAGTTTCTATCTTGGCTTCCTTCTGCTTAACAAGCCACATGTTTAGTGAGTTAATTAGATATTTTTGGACTACATTCAGTCTTATACGGTGGCTAACAAAACAATTCTACAGCTTTTCTAGGCCTTTTGATAGCAAATAAATGTAACATAAACTAAGATTTAATATGTGGATTCTTTCCCTTCCTCCTATGACTCCTTTCTGCTTCAGGAGAAGATACTTACATAGGAAATGGCTCCTTTTATCCTTTCTCAGAAGGTTTCCTCTCTGCTTTACATAGGACAGTTTAAGGGTGGCCAGTTTGAGCATGTCTAGGAACCACACAGGTAACACAGGTTATACCTGGCTTAGAAAAACCACATTCTTTTATTCTTATGACTCATGTTTTAAGCATGCATACTTTGTAAAGCAAATATAACACTCTTCATTTTATCTTGATAAATAAACATTTGTATAAACATCTTTTCTCTTTTGATAATTTTGATATTAAAGATTACAAACTTAGAAGAGCAATTAGAACAGTTTAGAGAAGAACTGGAAAATAAGAATGAAGAAGTTCAACAATTACATATGCAATTAGAAATACAGAAAAAGGAATCTACTACCCGCCTACAAGAACTTGAACAAGAAAACAAATTATTTAAGGTAATTAGTTTAGAAAAACTTTTATCTGTAAATAAGTCATAGTTTCAGTCCTATATTGCTTTATTATTATTATTTTTTTTTTTTTTTTTTTTTTTTTTTGAGACTGAGTCTCACTCTGTTACCCAGGCTGGAGTGCAATGATGTGATCTCGGCTCATTGCAAGCTCTGCCTCCCAGGTTCAAGCGATTCTCCTGCCTCAGCCTCCCGAGTAACTGGGACTACAGGCGTGTGCCACCATGCCCGGCTAATTTTTGTATTTTCAGTAGAGATGGGGTTTCTCCGTGTTAGCCAGGACACTCTTGATCTCCTGACCTCATGATCTGCCTGCCTTGGCCTCCCAAAGTGCTGGGATTACAGGCGTGAGCCACCACACCTGGTCCCTATATTGCTTTATTAAGCATTTGGTAAATCCAGCTGTTAAATAATACTCAACAGATGGACATTAACAGGTAGACACATTTGCATAGAACTTATTTTCAGCCCAACCTGAACATTTGAATTCATCATAAGTGAAAATTTTGGGATCATTTATCAAAATAGTTTAAGAATTATTGATTTACAATAACCATATGGTATCTCTGATTGTATTCATTTGTACGTTATAGGCTCTGTTTTCTTTTGTAATTATGTTCTGAAAATGATGTGTAATGATTATTCCAACTGTGATAATTATTTTTGTTCCTAGGATGACATGGAGAAACTGGGACTTGCCATAAAGGAATCTGATGCTGTGTCTACTCAAGACCAACATGTACTATTTGGGAAATTTGCCCAAATAATACAGGAAAAAGAGGTAGAAATTGACCAATTAAATGAACAAATTATGAAACTCCAGCAGCAACTTAAAATTACGACAGATAACAAGGTATACTCATTTAAAATTGATTATGAAATTAATATGAGCCAGAGTTTTAAAGGGCTAAATGGTTATAATGTTGCTCTCCATTGAATTTAAAAAACAAACCAATTTTATTTTATTCTATTTCATTTATTTTGAGACGGCGTCTCACTCTGTCGCCCAGGCTGAAGTCCAGTGGCACAACCTCGACTCACTACAACCTCTGCCTCCTAGGTTCAAGCGATTCTCCTGCCTCAGCCTCCCGAGTAGCTGGGATTACAGGCACCCACCACCCCACCTGGCTAATTTTTGTATTTTTAATAGAAATGGGGTTTCACCATGTTGACCAGGCTGATCTCTAACTCCTGATGTCAGGTGATCCACCCACCTCAGCCTCCCAAAGTGCTGGGATTACAGGCATGAGCCACCACACCTGGCCCACTTCTCTTTTAATTCATTAATTTTAATTTATTAAGATACATTGGTGGCCAGGCACAGTGGCTCACAGCTGTAATCTTTATACTTTAGGAAGCCTAGGTGGGCGGATTGCTTGGGCCCAGGAGTTCAAGACCAGCCTGGGCAACATGGTGAAACTTTGTCTCTACAAAAAATATGAAAATTAACTGGACATGGTGGCATACCACCTGTAGTCCCAGCTGCCGTGAGCCATGATCATGCCACTGCACTCCAGCCTGAGTGACAGAGTGAGACCCTGTCTCAAAAAGAAAAAAAAAAAAAGCAAAGACACATTGGCTTAATAATTTATATGTATTTTTCTCCCCTGCTAATATTGTCATAGGATTTTAATGTTTTTCAGAAAGGCTCTGTGACTTAGATTTTATCATATTATTCTAACCAAATCTATTATAAATTCTAATATTTAATATGAGTTAAGTAAGGTAATTACCTTTGGTCCCATCGGTTGTAGCCTTTATTTCCTTACTTCATCCTTTTCCATTAAGAAGTATTGATATTGACTATTTTCCTAATAGGGAATCAGCAACTAAAAGCTTATATTACTTTATACTTAACAGAACTTTCTGGGCCTTGTTTGATATGATGGGGCAGATATTGGTCTATAATGAAATTAAGGTAGTATGTCTGAGAAGTAGTATATTATTTTTGTGTGTGATCATCTCTTTGAGGTACTGCCCTAAAATAAAGTAAAATTTTCAAAATATAAATACATATATATTATGTATGTTACCTTTTTCATTAATAGGTTATTGAAGAAAAAAATGAACTGATAAGGGATCTTGAAACCCAGATAGAATGTTTGATGAGTGATCAAGAATGTGTGAAGAGAAATAGAGAAGAAGAAATAGAGCAGCTCAATGAAGTGATTGAAAAACTTCAACAGGAATTGGCAAATATTGGACAGAAGACACTAGTGGATGCTCATTCCCTCCCAGAAGAAGCAGACAGTTTAAAACATCAATTGGATATGGTTATAGCTGAAAAGCTGGCTTTGGAACAGCAAGTAGAAACCACTAATGAAGAAATGACCTTCACGAAAAATATACTTAAAGAAACCAATTTTAAAATGAATCAGCTAACACAGGAATTATTCAGCTTAAAGAGAGAACGTGAAAGTATGGAAAAGATTCAAAGTATACCAGGGAAAAGTGTTAACATGGCCATAGATGATATGAGCAAAGACAAACCTGAACTGGAAGTAGTCCTTACAGAGGATGCTCTTAAATCCTTAGAAAATCAGACATACCTCAAATCTTTTGAAGAAAATGGCAAAGGTTCCATAATTAATTTGGAAACAAGGTTGCTACAACTTGAGAGCACTGTTAGGGCAAAGGACTTAGAACTTACCCAGTGTTATAAACAAATAAAAGACATGCAAGAACAAGGCCAGTCTGAAATAGAAGTGCTTCAAAAGAAGATTCTAAATCTACAGAAAATACTTGAAGAAAAAGTGGCTGCTGCTCTTGTGAGTCAAATCCAACTTGAGGCAGTTCAGGAATATGCAAAGTTCTGTCAAGATAATCAAACAATTTCATCAGAACCTGAAAGAACAAATATTCAGAATTTAAATCAACTAAGAGAAGATGAGTCAGGGTCAAATATATCAGCATTAACCTTGAGAATATCAGAATTAGAAAGCCAGCTTGTTGAAATGCATACTAGTTTGATTTTAGGAAAAGAACAAGTAGAAATTGCAGAAAAAAATGTTTTAGAAAAAGAAAAGAAGCTGCTAGAACTACAGAAGCTATTGGAGGGCAATGAGAAAAAACAGGGAGGGAAAGAAAGGAAAAGAAGCCCTCAAGATTTTGAAGTTCTCAAGGTTGGTTTTGTATTTGATTATTTTCACTTAAGTACTCCTAAGTTAATTGCTAATTTACTGAATATGGTGTTCTGTTTACATCTAGCAATTTATACAAAAGGATTTTTATAAAAATATACCACTTATAAAAAATACGCTGTTGTTAAAAGAAAAACTAGGCTGGGTGCGGTGGCTCACGCCTGTAATCCCAGCACTTTGGGAGGCAGAGGTGGGTGGATCACCAGGTCAGGAGGTCGAGACCATCCTGGCTAACACGGTGAAACCCCATCTCTACTAAAAATACAAAAAATTAGCCGGGCATGGTGATGGGCATCTGTAGTCACAGTTACTCAGGAGGCTGAGGCAGGAGAATGGCGTGAACCCAGGAGGCAGAGCTTGCATGAGCCAAGATCACGCCACTGCACTCCAGCCTGAGCAACAGAGCAAAACTCCATCTCAAAAAAAAAAAAAAAGAAAAACTAGACAAACTAAATTTACGAGAGTTTATTTGAACAAAAAAGGATTCATGAATTGGGTAGCACTCAGAACCAGAGGAGTTTCACGAATCTCTTTTGTGCAACAGTGGCCGGTGAATATTTATAGACAGAACTACCAAATAAAGTACAGTTACAGCTAGGTGTTTGCCTTATTTGGGCCTGGTCTGCTCAGTTGACTGCTTGTCATTCGCTAAGAGTAGCTGTTTATTATACTCCTAAGATAATGTTTTCCATTTACATACTCCTAAGTTAGGTTTACGTACTCCTAAGTTAGGTTGCAATTCCTTACATAGGAACTCAAGATACAGAGAGAGCCTCAGGCCAAATTTAACTTAACATTGTGTAGTCATATCATTATCACTAAAATAATGGATACAGACTGTATTTTGCAATCTTCAAATGTGATGTTTATTTCATGAACATCATCATTAAATGGAGCAGTCAGAAGAAACTAAGAAACATTAACTTTAGCAAATGTCCTCTAGGACTTGTGGGGATTTTTTTCTTAATTTCCTTCTAATATGCATGTTATGTTATCATTCCTTTTAAGTAATAATAAGTATGAAAATATATTAGGATTGACAAAGAATGCAGACTTTACAGAAAAAATCTATTATTTAATAACATCTACTGAATTAATGTGTGGGTGACATATTTTACAAATTTTTTTTTTTCTCGAGACAGAGTCTTGCTCTGTTGCCCAGGCTGGAGTGCAGTGGTGTGACGTCAGCTCACTGCAGCCTCCACCTCCTGGGTTTCCAGCGATTCTCCTGCCTCAGCCTCCCAGGTGGCTGGGATTACAGACATGCCACACCACACCAGGCTAAATTTTTTTTGTATTTTTTTTTTTTTTTTAGTAGAGACGAAGTTTCTGCATGTTAGCCAGGCTGGTCTCAAATTCCTGGCCTCAACTGATCCGCCTGCCTCACAAAGTGCTAGGATTACAGGTGTTAGCCACCACGCCCGGCCAACTTTTACAAATTTTATACCTGATAATAGATTTCATCTGTTTTAAGTAAAAATGCATAGTTGACCTCTGTAAGTTTACTTATGTGAAGATCTGAAATCATAGTTCTCTATTATAGATAGGATAAGAGCTTTTTTTCCCTCCAAATTCTCACCTTATAAATTTATAACTTTGAGTAGCAGAACTTCAGTCTTCTCTAAACACCAGGAGATTAACTGATAAATCACAATTATTTAATTATATAATGTATTTTGCAAAGAATAATAATTACCTGGCTTTTTCCTCCTTCATTGGAACTAAATTACTCTAAGTTATAAATAATTAAAATAGTAATATAACTTTCTTTTTTTTTTTGGAGACAGAGTCTTACTCTGTTGCCCAGGCTGAAGTGTAGTGGCACGGTTTGACTCACTGCAACCTCTCCCTCCTGAGCAGCTGGGACTACAGGCATGCACTACCACACCTGGCTAATTTTTGTATTTTTTGTAGAGACAGTTTTGCCATGTTGAGGCCAGTAGACTGGCCTCGAACTCCTGACCTCAAGTGATCTACCTGTCTCAGCCTCTCAAAGTGCTGGGATTACAGGCATGAGTCATCATGCCTGGCCTAAAATAGTAATACTTTCCATGTATGAGTTCTAAGAAATATCTTAGTTACACTTGGTTTCTTTTGACGAAAGTGCTATAAATATGAAGAACTTTTTGAATGGTAATAAAGAATATTTTCACTAATAATTTATAAATTTTTCGGATGTATATGAATGACATTATTTGCCTTTTATTCCCAGAAAATCATTCTTTTTTTTGTTTGTTTGTTTTGTTTTGTTTTACATTCTCTTTTTTTTTTTTCTTTTTTTTTTTTATATATTATTATACTTTAAGTTCTAGGGTACATGTGCATAACGTGCAGGTTTGTTACATATGTATACTTGTGCCATGTTGCTGTGCTGCACCCATCAACAAGAAGAAAATCATTATCTCAAGAATATAAGATGATGGTTCTGAAAAAGCTTCTGTGTTTTTGGAAAGAGCATTGATTTGTTGCAACTCCTTTTATCTGTAGGCAGTCATTCTTTGGGTAGTTTTATTAGAATGTATAAGTGCCTTGAATTTAGCTGTATTTTTTTAAAAGTATGTGTTTCTTATGTTTTCCGCTGTCATTCAGACAACTACTGAGCTATTTCATAGCAATGAGGAAAGTGGATTTTTAAATGAACTCGAGGCTCTTAGAGCTGAATCGGTGGCTACTAAAGCACAACTTACCGGTTATAAAGAAAAGACTGAAAAACTTCAAGGAGAGCTTTTGGTAAGATAAGTAACATACCTCCTAATTCACTCATTTCTACCTATCTTAATTGCATTTCAAAGTATATACTCATCTGTAGCAAATCAAGCTCCATAACTTAAAAACTAGATAAAAAGTATTTTGTGGATTTAATGAAAACTTTCATTGTTGTAAATTTCTTTACCAACATCTTCTTGCTTGGTTTTCCTGGGGATCTTTGTTAGGAGGATACTTTTCATTTCCATTCTGTTAATGAAGGAGTAGAAAGTTGTTAAAGAGGACTGTGTATCCCATGAGAACCAAAAGTAGAAGCTGATAAAATTATTTCACTTTTATAGTAATCTATGACCATACATACATACAAATATATATATGTAAACTATGAGTGTTTCTAAAATGTTTTTCCTACTACTCTGAGGAAAATGAACATATAATCATGAATTACATTCCTCCCACCCCCTTTAAATTCTGCATTTAATATGGAAAGATTTGAACTGAATGCCCTACTGTTCTATTCATTATGTTTTAGATAAAAGAAACAAATATGGCATCTCTTCAAAAAGACTTAAGCCAAGTTAGGGATCACCTCGCAGAGGCAAAAGAGAAATTGTCCATTTTAGAAAAAGAAGATAAGACTGCGGTACAAGAAAACAAAAAGGCCTGCATGTTCAAGCCACTTCCTGTAAAACTGAGTAAAAGCATTGCATCCCAGACAGATGGGACTCTGAAGGTCAATAGCAGCAATCAGACTCCACAAATTCTTGTTAAGAATGCAGGAATACAAATTGATTTACAGAGTGAATGTTCCTCAGAAGAAGTTACTGAAATAATCAGTCAGTTTACTGAAAAAATTGAGAAGATGCAAGAACTACATGCTGCTGAAATTTTGGACATGGAATCCAGACATATTTCAGAAACTGAAACCTTAAAGAGGGAACACTATGTTGCTGTTCAGTTACTGAAAGAGGAATGTGGTACCTTGAAGGCAGTGATACAGCGTCTGAGAAGTAAAGAGGTATTTGGTTTCTATAATATTGTTCTTCAACATTGTGTGCTTTTTTAAAAAAAAAAAAAATCATTTAAATTAATTCATTTTGTAGATGACAAACCAAAATGCAACTCATTAAGGCACTTGATCTTTCTAAGTAGGTGTATTATCAAGGCAAGTTTTTAACTCCTTGTACAGTATTACTTTTTTAAAATTTTTATTTATTTATTTTTCTTTTATTATACTTTAAGTTCTGAGATACACGTGCAGGATGTGCAGGTTTGTTACATAGGTATACACGTGCCATGGTGGTTTGCTGCACCCATCAACCCGTCGTCTACATTAAGTATTTCTCCTAATGCTATCCCTCCCCTAGCCCCCATGCCCCGACAGGCCCTGGTGTGTGATGTTCCCCTCCCTGTGTCCATGTCTTCTCATTGTTTAACTCCCACTTATGAATGAGAACATGTGGTGTTTGGTTTTCTGTTCTTGTGTTAGTCTGCTGAGAATGATGGTTTCCAGCTTCATCCATGTCCCTGCAAATGATATGAACTCATCCTTTTTTATGGCTGCATAGTATTCCATGGTGTATATGTGCTACATTTTCTTTATCTAGTTTATCACTGATGGGCATTTGGGTTGGTTCCAACATTGTGTGCTTTTAAAAGAAAATGAGAAAACTTAGGGCAGTCTCTTCCTTACGATACTATCACAATTTTAATAGTTTTGAACTTTTTTAAATTTAAAGAGGTTTTAGTTTTAAAATTTTTTTAATCTTTCCATTGTGTAGAGTTAAATAATATATGATGTTCCTTTATGGATTTGGAACATGTTATCATTCCTTAATTCACGAATATCTCTTCTTATGGTAATATTCATGAAGAAACAGACTTGTTTTAAAAAACCATGAATAGTTTCATTTATTATGAAAGGTGTGACAGATTTGATTACAGCATGAGAAACCAGCAAAATAATTCAGCGTATTCTATTTTTATTAAAGCAAAAAATATATGTATTTTTTTTTGTTTTCTCTAATTAGGGATCCGCAATTCCTGAGTTAACACATTCTGATGCTTACCAGACTAGAGAAATATGCTCCAGTGGTAAGTTTTATAAATATCTGTAATGTTTGTAGTATTTGTTTAAGAAATATTGGTTTTTTTGGGGACATGGGGGTTGATTTTTTTTTTTTTTAAACAGCAAATGATTTTCTTTATTTTAGATTCTGGATCAGACTGGGGTCAGGGAATTTATCTTACACACAGTCAAGGATTTGACACAGCATCAGAAGGCCAAGGAGAAGAAAGTGAAAGTGCAACAGATTCCTTTCCAAAGAAAATAAAGGTACTAAAAGATAGATACCTTTTATTAACTCAGCCAGTGTTGTTTCTATGTTGAACATAGCACTTCATTAGAAGTTATGTGGTGGGATCGTTTCTGAAGAGAGAATTGCATAGCTAGAAAGAACCTGAGAGATCTATTTTATTTCCATATTTCACAGATAATAAAGTAAGAGATTTAATGATGATATGTATGAAGACTTTTTTCTTAATAATTCTTATTCCTGATGTTTTCGTTTGCCAGAATTTTTAAAGTAGTCTTAAAGAGTAGAAGTTATATCCCATGTATTTATTTTGGTCAAATCAGTGGCTTATCAGTAAACCTAGAAAGAGTACATTAGCCAAACAGAAGGAACTTAGAGATGAGAGCTATGGAAGGTCATAGGCCATCTGCTGGAGTTGGCTTACCTCTCCACAGGAAGAAGGCATTCAGTAATGTTGAGCTGGAGTTTTCTCTCTGCAAGCTATCTTGCTTAAAATTTATTTCTCTTTGTATGTCTAATTTTTCAGTCTGTGAAGAAGTTGTCATAATTCTGGCTTTTGGGTTTTGGTTTCTAGGGATTACTGAGAGCTGTCCATAATGAAGGCATGCAGGTGCTTTCTCTCACTGAGTCTCCCTATAATGATGGAGAGGACCATTCTATTCAGCAGATTTCAGAATCTTGGCTAGAAGAGAGAAAAGCTTACCTCAGTACAATCTCATCTCTACAGGATTTAATTACCAAAATGCAACTGCAAAGAGAAGCTGAGGTACCCAGAGAATACTACACATCTAAATCGTTTTATGTATTATTTTAACAATAATAATACATTATAAATTATCTTTTATACATATTTTTGCATGAATAACTATATATATTTTCACACTTGAAACTCTGCCAGGAACAGTGCCTCACGCCTGTAATCCCAGCACTTTGGGAGGCCGAGGTGGGCGGATCACTTGAGGTCAGGAGTTCAAGACCAGCCTGGCTAACGTGTTGAAACCCATCTCTATTGAAAATATAAAAATTAGCCAGGCGTGGTGGTGGGTGCCTGTAATCCCAGCTACTCGGGAGACTGAGGCAGGAGAATCACTTAAATCTGGGAGGTGGAGGTTGCAGTGAGCCGAGATCGTGCCACTGTACTCCAGCCTGAGCAACAGAGTGAGACTGTCTCAAAAAGAAAAAAAAAGAGAAGAAGTACACATGCTCCTAGACTTTTAATTATTTTTCTTTGTAGATTAACATTTTTAGAATGTTTTGAAAATATGCTTATTTGAAAACTAACTTTGGTTATATGTACTTTGCTAGGTTTATGATAGTTCTCAATCTCACGAGAGCTTCTCAGACTGGCGAGGTGAACTACTGCTTGCCCTTCAACAAGTTTTCTTAGAAGAGCGTAGTGTTTTACTAGCGGCATTTCGGACGGAGCTGACAGCTCTAGGTACTACAGATGCAGTTGGCTTACTAAACTGTTTGGAACAGAGAATTCAAGAACAGGTATAATGAAACTTCATTTTAATAGAAATAAGGAAATGACTATTAATTTTAGAGTCTTAATTTAAGTATGAAGGTTAAGATTTTAATAGGATCCACTATGAATATTTTTTTTTAATTATTGTAACTGTTTTAACATGTTAGAAAGTAAGAAAGACTGAAAGTTAAAGAGCTGATTTTCTAACCTAGGAAATTAGAAAAAGAGCAACAAAATAATCCCAAACTAATTTGAGAGAGTAAATTCTCATTATTTGCACTGGTTATGTTCTATAAAGTTGCTCTGAACATTGAACAGTCATTGCTTCTAAGGGAAATACAAGGTTAGGTTCCTGTAAGCCTTAGGTCACAACATTTTCATCAATCAGTACATAACTTTGTCTATATGTGATTCTATTTTAAGACATCTTATTTACTGTATATTATTGATTGATTAACCCTAAACACCACCAACAGCACTATAACTCATGCCTGAAAAAAACTTGTCTGACACATATATTTTCTCCTTAAGGCACATCGCAGCCTTCTCATACTTAGGAACACCATAAAGCACTTCAGCACTACTTTTGGGGGCCATTCTAAACAGTGAAATCACAAATAAAAAGCACAAAAATTTGAAACATCACTAAATACTCTGTAAAAAGGGCATTTGACTTTAGCTGGGGACATCCACATTGGACCATTTAAATTTTCTGCTGCTCTATGCATTTCTGTGAAAGATCATGAAAGCAACACAACAATGAATTTGGGAGTTACAAATAAATTTTAGTGAGAAGGCAAATCTGCAAATATGGAATCAGAATAATGAGGATTCCCTTTAATGAAGAAAAAGGCGTCAATAGATACATTGTTACAATAAGATAAAATGTTAAAAGTTGGACATTTGAACTTTTCTGAAGAATTGGTTAAGCAAAATGATAAAGCACACATTTTTAAAGTTAGGAATGAACTGAAGATATAGTTGAGATATAAAAATGATAGAATATTATGAATAATTTCATGAGAATAAACAAACACCTGGGTGAAATGGACAGATTTCCTAAAAAAAAAAAAAATCACTTATGAAAACTCTTTCATTAAGAAACAGAAAACCTCCAAAGACCTATTACTAGTAACAGAATCAAATCAATAGTTAAAAATCTACTATAATACTTAACACCCAGATCTTGTTTTTTAATATATTCTCCACTGAAAAGAACTAGGACTTCCTGCAGAACTGGTGATTTTAGGGATGGATCAGGGAAAGTACAAGGTGAGCCTGGAACATCTTGTTTTGCTGACAAGTAAGGAATTGTTCAAAGAATAAAGGGAACATGTTGAAAGGTCACAGAAGCCAGCTTAAAGGAGCTCCAACTGGCCAAATTCTAGAAAAATTTAAACATTATACTAAATGATAGTAACAAATTATAAGCCAAAGAGTGAAATAAGAACTCATGAGACCATACTGATATAAATAAATAAATATATAAATATATAAATAAATAAATAGTATTACCATGGAATGACAGCTAGTAAATGTAGAAGGAACAATGAAAGGAAATTACCCTTTACTAAACACTATATTATTAAATCACTCTTTATTAAACACTATTCAAGTAATAGTTTGCAATGGGTGCTAAAATTATTGTGAAAAGGTTTGATAAGAAACTGTATTTACATAATCTCAAAGTAAATCCCCAGAAAATATTCTTTAATTACCAGGGAAAACCAGTAACTTTGCAGTGGAGAAACCTTGCAGATACCACCTTAACCAAGTGATCAGAATGACTATTACCAGTAATGGAATAGACATCATACAGTTCCTAATATGAAGGGCACAGTGCCACTTTCACAGTATTTTTGTCAAATGAATATTCATAGTCCACTCTTGGGGAAATGTCAGACCAAAACAAATTGAGAACACTACATCTATCAAAATAAAAAATAGTGACACCAAGTACTGGTGAGGAAGAAAAGAAACTGTCTCATACGTTGCTGGTAGGATTGTAAAATGGGAGGGCAATAGCCAAAAACTGGAAACATCCTAAATGTCCTTTGACAGAAGAATGGATGGACAAACTGTGGTACATCCATACAATGAAATATTACTCAGCAATTAAAAAGAAACAAACTGTTTATGCCTGCAACCATTTGTATGCTATATAATGCTCTTAAAATGACAAAATTATAGTAATAAAGATCAGTGGTTGACAGGGGTTAGGGTTAGGGAGAGAGTATGACTATAGAGGGGTTTCTTTGTGGTGATAAAACAGTTGGTATTCTGATGGTAGTGGTGGTTACACGAACCTGTCTGTACCTATGATCAAATTTTGTAGAATTACACACCAGGAAAATTAATGACTGCATGTGAACACTAATGAAATCTGAATAAGCCCTATAGTTTAGTATTGTACTAATACCATTTTCCTGGTTTTGATAATACACTATGGTAATGCAAGATGGTATCACTGGGAAAAGCTGGCTAACAGATACATGGGAACTTTAGCTTAAATTAATCAAAATAAAAAGTGTTTTAAAATTGAGGAACATACAACAAAATAGCCTGTAGTCTTCAAAAATTCAAAGTCATGAAAGACAAAGAAAGACTTAGGAATATCACTTTTTTTCTTTTTGCTGTGAAGCACATTTCACAAAATTTGAATGGGCTCTGTACATCACATAATAGTATTGTAGTAATGTTAATTCTACTTTCGCTAATTGTAGTTATGTATGTAAAGAATGTTCTTGTTTTAAGGAAATACAGTCTCGTATTTAGAGGTAAAGGAGCATTTGTCTGCAGCATATCCTCATACATTTTGGAAAGGAAAAATAAGAAAAAATTTTTAAAAAGAAAATTTTAGTATGTGTGTTCCATTCATTCTTCTTCAGATTTCTTGGTTGTTAATTGTATTGCCTTTACATCTCTCGTCACTTGATGTTTACCTTCCTTTGTTACAGGGTGTTGAATATCAAGCAGCTATGGAATACCTGCAGAAAGCAGATAGAAGGAGTTTGTTATCTGAAATTCAGGCACTGCATGCACAAATGAATGGCAGGAAAATTACTCTGAAAAGAGAACAAGAGAATGAGAAATCAAGCCAAGGTATGTTGTATGACAAGCTCGTATGGTTACATAAATAGGTGAAAAGATTTCACTTTGTTTTCTTTCTTATTATTATTAAGTTAAAACATATTTTCTCAGTCACATTTCCTTCTCATTCTCATAATGTTAAGGATACAATCTATATTAATTACTCTAGGATCTAATTGGTTGTAGACAGCTATGTTGACTTTAAAATAAACTGCTATTCCCCTAATCAGGTTAAGCCCATTGGGTTCATTCTTTTTCTTTATTTTAGAGCTGTATGTTAAGAAAACAGTCTTTCCAGTCATAAAACAGAAAATACTCTTTCGAGGAAAATCCACCGTGCATATAACTAATTCCTTTTTAATCCTTTTTAAAAAATTGTGAGCCATAACATACAGAAAATTACAAATTGCAAATATGCCTTATGACACATTATTAAATGAGTATCTATGGAAACATCACCCATGTGAATATAGCCAGTATCCCGAAAGCCCCTTCTCCCAAGCATATGCTCCTCTGAGTAACTTAGAGGTAATCATAGTTCTGATTTTTCTTTAGTTTTACTACCTATTTATATATTCCTAAAACATGTAAGTTTCAAGTTTTTCCTGTTCTTGAACTTTATCAATCTGTATGTGTTTTTTATCTTGTTTCTTTCACCTCTCTGTAACATTCTTCCAACATTCCTCCAAGTTACTGCATTTTTCAAGTTACTGCATTCTTCCAAATTAGTAGTAGAACATTCTTCCAAGTTACTGCATTTATCTCTAGTTCATTCATCCTTGTTACTCCATAACTCTGTAACCCTGTGTAGGGCCAGGCGCAGTGGCTCACACCTGTAATCCCAGCACTTTGGGAGGCTGACATGGGTGGATCACGAGGTCAGGAGTTCAAGACCTGCCTGGCCAAGGTGGTGAAACCCCGTCTCTATTAAAAATACAAAAAGTAGCCAGGCATGGTGGCAGGCGCCTGTAATACCAGTCACTCAGGAGGCAGAGGCAGAGAATTGCTTGAACCCAGAAAGTGGAGGTTGCAGTGAGCTACAATCGCTCCACTGCACTCCAGCCTGGATGACAGAGCAAGACTCCGTCTCAAAAAAAAAAAAAAGAATTCCCTGTATAGATATTCCAAAATTTATATATCCATTCTATTAATATGAGCATTTGGATTGTTTCTTCTTTTTAGCTGTTTAACTATCAATGCTATTATAAACATTGTTGTATAGTGTTTCTGCTACATATGTGCATTCTTCTTCTCAGTATATAACTAAGAGTAGAATTGCTGGGTCATGGAATGCCTATCTTAGATAACTTCAAACGATTTTCCTTCATGGTCATATTAGTTTATACACTTACTAGCAGTATATGAGAGTTACGTTGCTTCACATCTTTGCCAACAGCTGGTATAGTCAGACTACTGTTGCCAATCTGCTGGGTGTGCAGTGGATTTTTATTGTGGTTTTAATTGGCTGTTCTCTAATTTCTGAAGTGTTTAGTCCTTTTTCATATGGTAATTGGCTAGTTTGATTTTTATTTTTGTGATATGCTCGTTTAGGTACTTTTTGATAAGAGTATCTGATCTTTTAAATTGAGCTACAGATGGAAATCATTAGAAAGTAAAGTGAAATCTAATTTTCATCATCTCCACTGAGGACACATGGCTGTGTGTTCAGCAATTTTGTTTCATGTACTGGTAGAAACATGTATCCTTTTGGAAATTTTGAAGGTCACAGCATGGTCTCACATTGGTCATTAAAAAGCTGAAGCAGGCTGGGCACAGTGGTTCACGCCTGTAATCCCAGCACTTTGGGAAGCCAAGGCGGAAGGATCACCAGGTCAGGAGTTCGAGACCAGCCTGTCCAACATGGTGAAACCCTGTCTCTACTGAAAATACAAAAATTAGCTGGGCATGGTGGTGGGTGCCTGTAATCCCAGCTACTGGGGAAGTTGAGGCAGGAGAATCGTTTGAACCCGGGAGGTGGAGGTTGCAGTGAGTCGGGATTGCGCCATTGCACTCCAGCCTGGGCTACAGGGCAAGAGTGTCTCAAAAAAATAAAAGCTAAAGCATTCTTATCACTGAGTTTAAGAAGGAAAAAAAAACGAAAGCAAGTTAAAATTACTTCAGAAAAAAGAGTCATAATGAGATAAACATATCACTTTAAATGTAGGCTTAATTGAAGATGCCTTTTAGAGATAAATTAATATTGTTTTACTTAGGTTAAATAGAACACCATTGAAAGCTTAATTAATGTTACAGATTCACATTTATGTAAATCCTTAACCTCTAAAGTTTTTAGAAGCCTTAATTAAACATGATTGATTATCATCTAAAGCTAATGTTATTTCTGTCTCCTAACATCACTAATATGAATTGTAATGTGAATTGTTGAACTTTGATAGTATTTTTTAAGTTAAAAATCCTTTTCTTATTAGAGTAGTATAGTATTACATATTTATGGTGGAATACAGAAAAGAATAGAGTGAAAATCATTCCTTGAATCACCTAAATCCTATAATGACTACCTAACAGCTGGGTAAATATGTCTCCAGACCTTTTCAATGTGCCTGTGTACATATGTTTATATTTTTCATAAAAAAGGAATCCTGATACATATTTTATAACATGCCTTTTTTTTTTTTTCATTTAACATGCTGAGGGATTTAAATTTTTCAGTTTGTTTTTATTGTAGCAAACATGTAGCAAGAGTTTGGTTGGCCTTTAATGGATAAAAGGACAGTATCCAAAGTGGGGTTTGGATTTCCCACTTCTGGGAACAGAGTCATATTAAAGTTCCGAGGGACTCTCTGCAAAGGGGTGCTGAACAAAAGAAATAAGCAGTGCTCATCATTGTAGTCAGTTACTTGGGAAATTCCTGCAAGTACTTTGTGTGGCAAGTACTTTGTGTGGGTATCAAAAAATCTTTGGAATTTTTTAAAGTACGTTGTTGAAATTCTGAATGTACAAATATGAGTTCCATTTAAAGTTTTTTTTTAATTTTAAATCTTGCATCCATTAATGTATTGTGTTAAACTTTTATCCTTATGTATTTATAGTTCTGAAATCTTGGCCAATAGCACTGTGAGGAAAACATGCCTGAAATTTATTTTTATATATTACCAACTCTTTTTGTTTGTTTTTTTGAGACAGGCTCTCACTCTGTCACCGAGGCTGGAGTACAGTGGCATGGTCTCAGCTCCTTGCAACCTCCACCTCCTGAGCTCAAGCAGTCCTCCCACCTCAGCCTTCTGAGTAGATGGGACTACAGGCACATGCCAGCACACCCAGCTGATTTTTGTATTTTTAGTAGAGACAGAATTTCACCATGTTGCCCAGGCTGGTCTTGAACTCCTGGCCTTAAGCAGTCCTCCCTCCCACCTCAGCCTCACAAAGTGCTGGGATTACAGGTATGAGCCACCATGCCTGTACTGCATTACCAACTTTTGGGATTATAATTTTTCATGTTTCCTTTGAAGTAATCTCCTAAACTACAAATCAGTTCTTATCAACAAATATTTATAAACCAAATATGAGTTGCTTGATTATGTTTTAAATATTAATCATGTTCTGTGTAGAACTCTTGGAATATAATATACAGCAGAAGCAGTCTCAAATGCTGGAGATGCAAGTGGAGCTCAGCAGTATGAAAGACAGAGCAACGGAACTGCAGGAGCAGCTGAGTTCTGAGAAAATGGTGGTGGCTGAACTGAGGAGTGAGCTTGCACAAACTAAACTGGAACTAGAAACAACACTCAAGGCACAGCATAAACACCTAAAGGAATTGGAGGCTTTCAGGTGTGCCAGGCTTCCTTATTATAAACATGTTACAAGGAATGGGAGTAATTTGTCATAAACACTGTGCAAATATATAACACACATGATATTTAAATACCATGCAATATAACATGCATGATGTTTAAATAGCATGCAACTGTTTTTTTCAAGGAAAAACTATAATAGAAAAAAAATAAATTTTTCCAAATGATGAACTTATAACATATTCTCTACTGTGACTTCAGTTCTGTGTGAGACTTGTATGAGATATATTTTGACTTTGACCTTTATTTTACCATCAGCCAATTTGAAGTGATATTTATGAATGCAGTAGAATTCATGATTGAGTGAGCTGAAATATGCAAAATATTTGAAGAGACAGTGCTTGTTAAAAGAATATATTTGTTGATACAAATACTGCGATATTCTGTTGCCAAAGACACATTATAACTAGTCGTTTTTATATTGAACATTAGCTTCACACACAAATAGACATGGTGATTACCATGTTCAGTAAAAGACAAAAAATTTATTTACTTTTTATTTATTTATTCTATTTTTTATTTATTTAATTGTCTTGAGACGGAGTCTCACTCTGTCACCCAGACTGGAGTGCAGTGGTGTGATTCCAGCTCACTGCAAGTTCCACCACCTGGGTTCAAGCGATTCTCCTGCCTCAGCCTCCTGAGTGGCTGGGATTATAGGCACCCACCAGTATGCCCAGCTAATTTTTGTATTTTCAATAGAAATTGAGTTTCACCATGTTGGCCAAGCTGGTCTCGAACTCCTGACCTCAGGTAACCCACCCACCTCAGCCTCCCAAAGTGCAGGGATTACAGGTGTGAGCTGCCATGCCCAGCCAAAATTTTTATTAATACTATTTTGTAACAATAAATTGCATAGTTGTTTGCATTGATAATTAATAACTAATAATTGTAGTACTAGAAACAGTTAATTTGAAGCCAGGTGTGGTGACTAATGCCTGTAATCCCAGCACTTTGGGAGGCCGAGGCGGGTGGATCACCTGAGGTCAGGAATTTGAGACCAGCCTGGCCAACATAGTGAAACCCCGTCTCTACTAAAAATACAAAAAATTAACCGGGTATGCTGTCGTACATCTGTAATCCCAGCTACTTGGGAGGGTGAGGAAGGAGGACCACTTGAACCCAGGAGGCGGAGGTTGCAGTGAGTCAAGATTGCGCCATTGCACGCCATCCTGGGTGACAAGAGGGAAACTCTGTCTCAAAAAAAAAAAAACAGGACCAGGCGCGGTGGCTCACGCCTGTAAATCCAGCACTTTGAGAGGCCCAGGCAGGCAGATCATGAGGTCAAGAGATTGAGACCATCCTGGCCAGCATGATGAAACTCCATCTCTACTGAAAATACAAAAATTAGTTGGGCATGGTGGTGTGCGCCTGTAGTCCCAGCTACTTGGGAGGCTGAGGGAGGAAAATTGGTTTAACCCGGGAGGTGGAGGTTGCAGTGAGCCAAGATGACACTACTGCACTCCATCCTGGCGACGGAGCAAGACTCAGTCTCAAAACAAAACAAAAAAAAGAGAAAGAGTTAATTTGAAATGAACCCCAGTCAAGAATCTTTAATAGTTTATATTTTCCTCTTAGCTAGCATATTATATGCCTCAGCTTATCAGTGGAAGCTGTTTTTCTCTCTCTCATTATATGCTTCATCAACATAGCTTTATGGAAGTTCATTTGTCTTTCTGACTTAGGTTGGAAGTTAAAGATAAGACAGATGAAGTACATTTGCTTAATGACACATTAGCAAGTGAACAGAAAAAATCAAGAGAGCTCCAATGGGCTTTGGAGAAAGAGAAAGCGAAGTTGGGACACAGTGAAGAACGGGATAAAGAAGAACTTGAGGTACTGTTATCTTTGTCTTTAAATGTCTCTGGAAAATCCAGAATGATAGAAGAGAGTCTTGAGACTTTCCTCCATCTAAAATGTCAACCTTAGACTTCTTAATAAGATGCGGTAAGTTGTTCACTTAGGCATTCAATACTATATAATGTTATCTAAACAATATTATGAGGAAATGCTAATGGAATGGTGATTGGTTTGTTTGTTAGTTTGTTTTGCTACATCCAAAGATGCATATAGACTGCTCTTCTGCAACATGTTTTGGTCATGTGAATTGGTACACAGAGATAAACATGGCAATCCTGTCAGTTTAATACAGAAGTAGTTTTGGTTCCTGTTTTCTCCTAGGGAAGAGGAACAGGGATACTTTTCTGGATCCCTCACTGCTTAAGAACATTTAAAGTGAACATTGGCCCCTTTCAGAGAGACACACCCCTGCTTTGCAAGGCTCTCAGCTCAAGGCAGGTTGTACTACTACATGCAGTATCTACTTTTAATAGAGATGGAGTTGTCTCATTGGCTCAGAGCTCTTCTAGCCACTTAAATGTATGCTGCTTCATTACTTAGTGAGGTTAAGATTTTTTGAGAAAAGTATTTTACCCTTCTTTTGTTTATATTTCATGATTTTGCACTAACTACTGAACATTTAAGTTAATAAACTAAATCAGTTCTATTTTCTAATACAGATACTATCAGCATAGTATTAACAAAGGCATGGTTGTATACTTATAAAGGTTTTTTTTGTTTTGTTTTGTTTTTTTGAGTCAAAGTCTCGCTCTGTTGCCCACCCTGGAGGGCAGTGTGGCGTAATCTAGGCTCACTGCAACTTCCACCTCCCAGGTTCAAGCGATTCTCCTGCCTCAGCCTCCCAAGTAGCTGGGACTACAGGCATGTGCCACTGCACCCAGTTAATTTTTTGTATTTTTAGTAGAGACGTAGAGACAGGGTTTCACCATGTTGGCCAGGCTGGTCTTGAACTCTTGACCTCAAGTGATCTGCCCTCCTCGGCCTCCCAAAGTGCTGGGATTACAGGCGTGAGCCACCATGCCTGGCCAAGTATTTGTAATAATACTAACAAGTTCTTAAATTTGACTTTCTCATACCAGGATCTGAAGTTTTCACTTGAGAGTCAGAAACAAAGGAATCTTCAGCTAAATCTACTTTTGGAACAACAGAAACAACTACTGGACGAATCCCAGCAAAAAATAGAATCACAGAGAATGCTATATGATGCCCAGTTGTCAGAAGAACACGGTCGAAACTTAGAGCTTCAAGTACTTCTTGAATCTGAGAAAGTTCGAATTCGGGAAATGAGTAGTACCCTAGATAGGGAGCGGGAATTGCACGCACAGCTGCAGAGCAATGATGGTACTGGGCAGTCTCGGCCATCCTTGCCCTCAGAGGACCTACTGAAAGAGCTGCAGAAACAGCTAGAGGAAAAACACAGTCGCATAGTAGAACTGTTAAATGAGACTGAAAAATATAAACTGGATTCTTTGCAAACACGACAGCAAATGGAAAAAGATAGGCAGGTTCATAGGAAAACACTGCAGACAGAACAAGAGGCCAACACTGAGGGACAGAAAAAAATGCATGAGCTCCAGTCCAAAGTGGAAGATCTTCAGCGCCAGCTGGAAGAGAAAAGACAACAAGTTTATAAGTTAGACCTTGAAGGACAGAGACTACAAGGAATCATGCAGGAATTCCAGAAGCAAGAACTAGAACGAGAAGAAAAACGAGAAAGTAGAAGAATTCTGTATCAGAACCTTAATGAGGTAAACTGACAGTTTCTTTTTAGATATTTTTAAGGTAAGTACTGCAGCCCTTTGATCATTAAATTTTGATATTGGATTAAATTACTTAAATAACTGTTTGTAAATCACCTAAAAATGAAATATATAGACGTTTGTTGGATATAAACAATAATTGTGTTCCCTTAAGATAGACTGTGATATGCTCTTCACTTATAATTATTGTTTTCTTATTCTGTCCAAAATTGCCAGCCAGCCACGTGGAGCTTAACCAGTGATCGAACTAGAAATTGGGTTCTTCAACAGAAAATAGAAGGAGAAACAAAGGAATCAAACTACGCTAAATTGATTGAAATGAATGGAGGAGGAACCGGCTGTAATCATGAATTAGAAATGAGCAGACAAAAGCTTCAATGTGTAGCTTCAAAACTACAGGTTCTAGCCCAGAAAGCCTCTAAGAGGTTAGACTTTTCTGCCTGATCTTTGGGAAAGCAGCATTCTTAGGCTGGGTAGACCCCATGCCTCTTTGACAGCTAGCCAAGGGTGGGGAATTGAAATTTTAAAGGTAATGCATGTTTGCATTAGGAGGTGATATTCTTTAACAGAACTCAAATGTCTGAAAATAACTATCTAACACTTTGACCCAGGGAAGAGAGCACAGTATATAAGGGAGAAGTGATAGGTGAAGTAGAACGTCACCTGCTCTGTAATGTTTGTGGTAGTAAACACCCCCAATTGAGAAGGTATGTTTTGACTTTTTGTCTTTTTCTTAAAGACTACAGTTTGAAATAGCAGATGATGAAGATTTCATTTGGGTTCAGGAAAATATTGATGAAATTATTTTACAACTACAGAAATTAATTGGCCAACAAGGTGAAGAGGTAATACTTTTTAAAAGTTATTTCGGAAGCATTGAGAGCAAAGATTTAATAGAAACTGAATCATTTGAAACTTGCAGCATATTGTTTATACTCTTTATAGAGTTTTATTTGTATCTTTTCATTTATTTTAAATATGAGTAATAATGCTTGCTTTCCCCCAAGAGAAGATAATGAAGGCTTGTGGGGGAAGTTAGCTTTCATTATTGTTACTGAATAATTATGTTGACCTTTTGCCGTATGGAGACAAGCTTCCTGAAAGAGTGATCTAGCTTCTATCCTCTCTACTCCGTGAAACACCCTTAGACGCCTACCAGTGTCTAAACAATTGACTAATCTGGTGAATCTTTTCAGTCTTTTTCTTGACTTCTTTGTAGCATTTGATACTTTTGATCTCTTTTATTTTCTTAAGACCTTCTCTTTCCTTGCGTGTCATGTCAGTATTCTAACATTTCTTCTGCCTCTTTCATCAGTTACCTTTATGGTTCCTCTTCCTACCCTCTTCCTTCTTTTCTGTAACCTATAACTATGAAAGCTCACACAGTCCAACACCCTGAGCTCTCACTAGACTTATTATTAAACAAATACTTATATTGAACACTTACTGTGTGCCAGATAAGTGCCAGATAGGTTCTGGAGATACAGTGAACAAATCTGACTAAAACCTCACCCTTATGGAGCTTATCTTTAGTGGACTGTGGTTCTAGTCTAAACCTCTGTCCTGTGTTCCAGGCTTATATTTTCTTTTTTGTTTTGTTTTTTGAGATGGAGTCTTACTCTGTCACCCAGGCTGGAGTGCAGTGGCGCAATCTCAACTCACTGCAACCTCTGCTTCCTGGGTTCACTCCATTCTCCTGCCTCAGCCTCCCGAATAGCTGGGACTATAGGCACTCGCCAGTAGGCCCGGCTAATTTTTTGTATTCTTTAGTAGAGATGGGGTTTCACTGTGTTAGCCAGGATGGTCTCGATCTCCTGACCTCATAATCCGCCCGCCTCGGCCTCCTAAAGTGCTGGGATTACAGCCGTGAGCCACCGCGCCCGGCCCAGGCTTATATTTTCAGTTAGTTACTAGACATTTTTCCTTAGGGAAATGTACCCCATAGTGACCCTATAGGAACCTCACAGGCACATTCCAAACTGAACTCCGTCTTCCCTTTCTCCTTCCTGCTCCAGACCCTCATTTCTAGTCATGATACCGCCCAGTTTAGAAAGCTGGAAGTCACCATAGACCACTTTCCTTCACCCTTCCCTGCACGTCTAGATAGTCACTAAGTCCTGTCCCTCTTATCTTCTAAATACCTCTCCCACACACCCTTTACTTTCTGTCCCTTAGGCATTGCCTCCATTCAGGCTTTCAGCATTTCTTACCTGGCTGTTGAAACAACTTGCTGATAGGTCTACCTGACACGAAGATATCTTCCCTGATTTCCCCTGCTTTGTACATTACTACCAAAGGAATTTTTCCAACACATAAATTTTGTGTCGTATTTTTGCATCAAGCCTTTCATGACTCTCCATTGCCTACATTTAGGTCTGTTATTCATAAAGTAAAGCAATCTAGACTTAACAGGCAACCTACAACACCCCGAAAGGAATACACACTCGCTCAAGCCTGTGTGCCTTTTGCTTAATGTGCCCTTATCTTTTCTGCCTGGTAAATGTCTACCTATTACTGAAGACTCAACTCAAGCACCAATTCATGAACTTTGTTGCTCTCGGTGCCTATTCACCCTTTATATGCATTATTCACATCCATTTGTGCTTAAGTGACCTTACACCATTTTATTTTTCCAGCCCAGCTTGGTGTCCCCAAGTACTTCTTGTGGCTCCTTGACTGAAAGACTACTGAGACAAAATGCTGAGCTGACAGGGCATATTAGTCAACTGACTGAAGAGAAGAATGACTTAAGGAACATGGTTATGAAGCTGGAAGAGCAGATCAGGTGGTATCGACAGACAGGAGCTGGTAGAGATAATGTATGTCCATTTTTAGCATCTCCATATATGAGAATTCGTGCATGCTTATCATTTCTGCTATCTAGTTCAAGTTTTAATCCTGTTAATGTAAAACTATCACGTACCTGATTCTTAGTAGGATCCGCAGAAAATTTTATAGGGATGACAATAATAATATTACTATTACTACTAAGTTACTAATAATTACTGTTATTTATTGGAAACCATCTCTGTACTCGACTCTGGGTTGTATACATAAAGAATGTCTAATCCGCATCCACCTTATACCTGAGAAAACTGAACTGAAGTCGTAGTCAAACCAAGATACATGTATCTCCAAAGCCAGATACTTTGCTACCTAGGCACCAACAACAGATACACCAAATGTTCAAATGTGAATCCTGACTGTTCTCTTCGGTTATTTATCAGTCATTGTGTTCATGACTCAAATAGAAGGTGCTGTTAAATTATGTCTTTCAGTCTGATAAATTATGCTGAGAATTTACTTAAAATTTTTCCATTTAAAAACAGGTATAAAATTAATTGCTAGTTTCCATAATCACCCAATATAAAGATAGAAAAGACCTGTAAGACAACTGTATGGTTAAATACATGATAACACATTTATGTGCCTTTTATAGAAATCCACTTATTATGTACATACTGGCTTGTTTTTTTCCCACTTCTCCAATACACTATTTCAGGCACAGGCTCAAAATTTGGACCCAAATGGTCTGTTAGGTCTCTTGATGTTTTTAGTTCAAAGCTCTGCTAATCTGCTAAACCTTCCCTGTGGCCAGGCTTTCTCAAGGACTTTTAGTTGTAAAACTAATGTATTTAGCAAAGGACCATGTACTTAGAGTTAGTGTATATGCATAATGTCAATTGAGATTGGCTTTGAACTTTGTCTAGGTGGGGTCAGAAAGTTGAGACTGCACCATCATTGAGCTATCTTTAATATGTTTAGCTCAGACTTTTCTTCAGAGACTTGTTCTTAAAAATCATGTAAGTAGTCTGTGGTCTTTGCAGTCTTCCAGGTTTTCATTGAATGGTGGTGCCAACATTGAAGCCATCATTGCCTCTGAAAAAGAGGTATGGAACAGAGAAAAATTGACTCTCCAGAAATCTTTGAAAAGGGCAGAGGCTGAAGTATACAAACTGAAAGCTGAACTAAGAAATGACTCTTTACTTCAAACTCTAAGCCCTGATTCTGAACATGTCACTTTAAAGGTAGGAGACATCTCCCATCTAAACATCACAGTTTGTTCTATGTTTTTGCCTTCTTTCATCTCTCACTGACCTTAAATAAATAGACTAAAGAAATATAGGGCCGGGCACGGTGGCTCACGCCTGTAATCCCAGCACTTTGGGAGGCCAAGATGCGCGGATCACGAGGTCAGGAGATTAAAACTATCCTGGCTAACATGGTGAAACCCCGTCTCTACCAAAAATACAAAAACAAAAAAAATTAGCCGGGTGTGGTGGCGGGCGCCTGTAGTCCCAGCTACTCAGGAGGCTGAGGCAGGAGAATGACATGAACCTGGGAGGCAGAGCTTGCAGTGAGCCGAGATTGCGCCACTGCACTCCAGCCTGGGTGACAGAGTGAGACTCCGTCTCAAAAAAAAAAAAAAAAATAGATGGTATTCAGGTTTTGTCTCTAGGTCTCTTTATTCAGTCTTTGTCATGAATGCAGGTCACAGAGGTTTGTGGAAAGGCATGCCCAGGACTGGGACCAGATTAACCTCTATTAATGGTCCCAGTGACAGCATCCTGGGCTCGTGGTTCCACTTTCCCTGGTTTCATCCCTAATAGACCAAAAGAATGTTATATGTAAGAGCATCATACTCTGTAAAATGGTAAGCCCTCTGAAAGCCTCCCTAGTGACTAATAATGAATGTTGTTAAAACTACCTTAATCAGTCAACATAAAATTCAAAACATAAAGAAAAACTTTTGGAACATTTATTCCAGTTTATGACTCTGAAGGGATAGAAAACATTAACATTTAAAAAGTTAGATTAGGCCAGGCACGGTGGCTCACACCTGTAATCCCAGCACTTTGGGAGGCCGAGGTGGGTGGATTACTGAGGTCAGGAGTTTGAGATCAGCCTGGCCAACATGGTGAAATCCCATCTGTACTAGAAATACAAAAACTAGCCAGGCATGGTGGTGGGTGCCTGTAATCCCACCTACTTAGGAGGCTGAGGTAGGAGAATTGCTTGAACCCGGGAGACGGAGGTTGCAGTGAGCCGAGATCACGCCACTGCACTCTAGCCTGGGTGAGAGAGTGAGACTCCATCTCATAAATAAATAAATAAATAAATAAATAAATAAATAAATACATTAGTGACCCTAATGAAAATAGCTCTGTACAATTAAAACAAGAAAAAAAAAAAAAAGATGAAATTGGGATGACAAAAATATTTGCAATTAATATTATTAATGAGGGCTAAATCCTAAAAGAAGAAGTCTAACTATTACTATTCAGACTCCATTGACTAAAAGAGGCAAAAGTGTAAAGCTTAGTTAATTTATCTTAAATTTCACCTTTGCTGATAAAGTAGAAAACAGTGATAGGATACCTGCCATTTTATTACTACTACTATTACTACTACTACTACTACTACTGCTACTTGTTAAAATCTAGGTTATTTTCCCCTGGAGAGCAGGTTGAATGTTTTCTTAATGTCTTTATGTTCTTCTCTTCCTTAAATATAGAGAATTTATGGCAAATACTTGAGGGCAGAAAGTTTTCGAAAGGCTCTCATTTACCAGAAGAAATATCTGCTGCTGTTACTGGGTGGGTTCCAGGAATGTGAAGATGCCACTTTGGCCCTGCTTGCCCGGATGGGGGGGCAGCCAGCTTTCACGGATCTAGAGGTGATCACCAATCGCCCAAAGGGCTTCACCAGGTTTCGGTCGGCCGTCAGAGTATCCATTGCAATTTCCAGGTGAAGAACTTGAAGGAAAATGCATTTTACTAATAGACTCTCTAAAAGGATTAGTTCTTTTTAATTCTCCCTCTATTCTTTTCTGGTTATACTCTATATTTGTATAGTAGGCGGTATGTGCCATCACTGAAGCATGTCTGCTTTGTTTTTCTAGGTTTTCATTCAGCAGGAATAGTGGCAGGGTATGTGTAGACTATGAAAAGGGCCTTCCTAGGTCCAGGAAGCTGGTGACTCAGAGCTGGCCTATCCAGTCAGGGTTGCCTTTTAGAAAACAATCTGGACCAGGCACAGTGCCTCATGCCTGTAATCCCAGCACTTTGGGAAGCCAAGGCGGGCAAATCACAAGGTCAGAAGATCAAGACCAGCCTGGCCAACGTGGTAAAACCCTGTCTCTACTAAAAAAACAAAAAATTAGCTGGGCGTAGTGGCAGGTGCCTATAGTCCCAGCTACTCAGAGTGAGACTCTGTCAAAAAAAAGAAAAAGAAAAAGGCCGGGTGTAGTGGCTCACATCTGTAATTCCAGCACTTCGGGAGGCCAAGGCAGGCGGATCACAAGGTCAGGAGATCGAGATCATTGTGGCTATGCTGAAACCTCATCTCTACTAAAAATACAAAAAAAATTAGCCAGGCATGGTGGCGGGCGCCTATAGTCCCAGCTACTTGGGACGCTGAGGCAGGACAATGGCGTGAACCCAGGAGGCGGAGCTTGCAGTGAGCCAAGATCGCACCACTGTACTCCAACCTGGGCGACAGAAGGAGACTCCATCTCAAAAAAAAAAAAAAAAATCTGAATAAGCCCATGAACAAGCTCACACATGTAAAAAAAAGATTATAACATTTAAAAATGTGCTTGACAAATTACTTCTTAGGCTGGCATACATTCATTTTCTTCATTGCTAAGATAACCCAGTTTTGGTGCCCAGCTATGGAAGGTCCTTTCCTAACTGCATTCAAGTCAGAGGTTAGCCTTTAGGGCATTGGATTTTTGCTAGTGCTTTTGTTGTTCTTTCTCTAGTAATCCCAAGCAAAGAACTCTGGTATTCATTCTGTCTGTGATTGACATGCAGCCAAGACTCAAACTACTTTGAGGACCTGGCCCACTACATTCTTCTGACCTGGTTATATGCATACAAACACCAAGGCTTCTCCATGCATCCCCCTCCCTTTTAGGAGGCAGACAGATCTTAAAGGAATTTTGCTTTTTAAAGTTCTTTCTGTCAGGTCACATCTGATGCTTCTTTAAGGAGTTTTACCCTTTTTTTCTTATTTATTTTTCTCTAAAAATATGGCACAATTTTTTAATTGGAAGCTGTCTGAGATCACCTGGTCTAGAATCTCATTCCACACTTGAGGAAACTGAGGCAGGGAGAGGTTACAAAGCCAGTAGTGATAGAGCTGGGACAACCAGCTCAGTCTCCCCAGTCTCATTCATGCTGGCTCTGGAAACAGGAACACAGGTTTTATCTTAGTGTAGGCCTCAGACCCTCCTTGCTTCTGATATTCCATATTGTAGTCTCCTGGTTTCATTTACTCTTTCTCACCTTTCATTTCCTTCATCACCTTGTATAGAGTTAAACCAGGGTAAGTGCTGGTAGATGCATTGATGAAAAAATAATAATTCCTGCCTAAATACCTAAAGGCAGCTCACTTTCTAGTGGGGAAGACTAATATGCACAGAACTTAGAATATAATAAATAAATGGGAGGTCACAGGAGTTAGCTAGTAATTTTGATTAGAGGGATCTAGAGAGGCTTCATGAAAGCAATGTAGAAGTTGTTATTGACAAACTTCACTCTGCCCTGCTTTTTCTTATCCAAGATTATGTTTATCATATTTTGACCCTCCTAAGACGGAGCCTTGGAACTGATTCAAAATAAATCAAAACTGGTGCTCCAAAAGCTCCTTGGGCCATAATGGGGCAGGTGGTAACTTGCTGCACCTGGTTCATGAAGCTAACACTCCCATTCCTTTTGAAACCAACATTTTTTGTCCCTAATCAAAGGGACAAGAGCCTCACCCACCTTGCAGCATTCCCAGCACATTCTTATTGCCAATTTAAGGGTCTTTTTGTTCTCTTCTTATTTCATCTGCCCTTTATTCTCTATTCTCTTTTCATTACTTCTCACCCTTTCTTTGCCTACTTTTCCCATCTACTTTTGCCTTCCATCTCCTTGTACCCCATTTATCCCTCAAGCCAGAACCTGATGCTGACAGTATAAGAGACCTGTAATGCCTCTTGGGAAGGGGATAAGGGGATCTTGAATCCCTATTCCTCTGTTCCAGTTGATTTTGTCACAATGGGCATTGACATAGTTTAATTGGGCAATCGTGAAATTTGACATATGTTCTATGTTCATATTTAAATGTATGATGTGATTTTTGTAGGAAGTATACATACTGTTTACATTATAGATGTGCTGTGAAATTTTATCTTGGAATCTTTTTTAGAATGAAATTTTTGGTTCGACGGTGGCATCGAGTCACAGGTTCTGGTTCCATCAATATTAACAGAGATGGCTTTGGACTGAATCAAGGTGAAGTCAAAATAGCATATTTTCTTATGTTTATGACTCTCTAAATCAGAGGTCCCCCACCCCCAGGCTATGGACCCATACTTGTCTGTGGCCTGTTAGGAACCAGGCCGCACAGCAGCAGGTGAGTGGCGGGGACTACTGCCCGAGCTCCACCTCCTGGCAGATCAGCCGTGGCATTAGATTCTCATAGGAGCACAGACCTTATTGTGAACTGCACATGTGAGGAATCTAGGTTGTGTGCTCCTTATGAGAATCTAACTAATGCCTGATGATCTGGGGTGGAACAGTTTCATCCAGAAACCATTCCGGCCCCTCTGGGTCCATGGAAAAATTGTCTTCCATGAAATGCGTCCCTGGTGCCAAAAAGGTTAGGGACTGCTGCTCTGAATTACTGCATGTGTAATACTTACCAAATAATGAATTCTGGAAACAATGTTTTCCAAAGACAAAGCCCTTATAACTGCCAAAACTAGGTAACTTCACTGTTTTTTAAAGAGGATAATAATAGCTGATTTTCATGGAGAACTTAGTCTGCACCGGGCCGTGCTCTTTTCATGTATTCTCCCAATCCTGTGATAGAAATACAGTTGTTACTATTCTCACTTTTAGATGAAAAACCGAGGCATGGAAAACACATGTCATTTGCCCCAGAATGGCCAGTAGGGAAGTGATGGAATCAGGACCAAACACTGGCAGTCTGGCTCCAGAGCCCATACTCTTCATAACTGCATTTAAGGCACTGGCTCAAGACAGGATTGCTGTTAGTCATATGGAATAATTATGAAGTTTTCATAATTTAACAATATTCAAACAGGTTTCTGAGTTTACCAAGAGGTTGTATAATAATGGTAACAGCTAAAATTCCTTCTCTCTACACCTAGAAGTGGAAACAAACTAGGGCTTGAACATTTCTGGCAATAAAGATGAGGTCCAAATCTGGGGAGCACACAGAGGTACAGAGGACACAGCATCCCTGTGCTGTGTATTCACAGTAAACCACCTTCACATACTCTACCAGGAGCTGAGCATCCGAGAGAGGGGAAATAGCTTTGGTGCCCTACACAAAGTATTTTGAAATATCATTACACTGAAACAGCTGAAATTTGTACCATAATAAGTTGTGTTTTATTAAAAGTTAGCAAATCTTGATTTTAAGTCAATAGAATGGAATGTTTACATAGTCTAATATTTTTTATCCACATCATTTCCCACAAACCACACATACTCAGACACCCCTCACCTCTCATCCACTTAGAGCTAAGGTCTTTAAAAAAGAAAGTATGCCAATTAAATAATTTTCTTTGAGACATAATTCCAGATATCAGAAATACTCATATTCAAAAGTAAACAAAATAACATTTGAAAGCCAAATTTTTGTTTGCACTGTTTCTCCTTTAGCAAGAATAGTAAGAAATGACTATAAATAGGAGATGGTATAATATAGTATAATAGTCTTTTGAGCAGTTATCTATTTTGTAGAAATTTTTTAAGGGCTTGGGATTTTATTTTTCTTTACAAGGAATATTTTGGGTTACTTTAGGTGCAGAAAAGACTGACTCATTTTTTCATTCTTCTGGTGGGCTGGAGCTATATGGAGAACCAAGACACACAACGTATCGCTCAAGATCAGATCTGGACTATATTAGGTCCCCTTTACCATTTCAGAATAGGTAAGAATTTGAGAAAACCTGCCTGGAATTGTTAAATGTATTCATATTTAACAGAGAAAAATGGACATTTTTAGGGCTTTGACTTCTTTGCATTGAGACAGACATCTTTGTTATATGTAATTTACATAATCTGACCAGGCATGGTGGCTCACACCTATAATCCCAGCACTTTGGGAGGCTGAGGTGGGCAGATCATGAGGTCAGGAGTTCAAGACCAGCTGGTTCGAGACCAGCCTGGCCAACATGGTGAAACCCTGTCTCTACTTAAAATACAAAAAAATTAGCCGGGCATGGTGGTGGGTGCTTGTTATCCCAGCTACTGGGGAGGCTGAGGCAGGAGAATCGCTTGAACTCAAGAGGCAAAGGTTGCAGTGAGCCGAGATTGCACCACTGCACTCTAGCCTGGGCAAAAAGCAAGACTTGGTTTCCAAAAAAATAATAATAATAATGCACATAATCTAAGGCTCAATGTAAAAATGTAAACACCAGTGTTTAAATTTGTAACTGATTTCCAAGGGTATAGCAAACAAAGCTGACCAAGTGTTATTTAGTATATGCTGTGATTAGATATTGGGAAAAGTATTGATTAAAATTGATAGTCTCTGACCATTATGAAAAGCTTAACAATCTTCATGACAAGATGCATTTATACATACCCAATTTATTGAGACCTCTGCCACAAGCATTGTATTGGACATTCTTATGTTGACTTAGTAGCATCTTTGAATTTATTGAAGAGTCGTCTCTTTCTCATCCCAAACTCCAAAGCTGAAGCTTAGGGGATATACATTATGTGTGTACAAGTGACCCACCTTTTTGGGGAAGGGAGTAGAGGCAGGTTGGTAACTTGTATGCATATTTCTGGATAACTTGATTCATGTACATATTTTTAATCCTTTAGGTACCCAGGCACTCCAGCTGATTTCATTCCTGGTTCTTTAGCATGTTCTCAGCTTCAGAATTACGATCCTGACAGAGCCCTAACAGATTATATCACTCGGCTGGAGGCACTGCAAAGACGACTTGGAACTATACAGTCAGGTGCTCTAAGTTTAACCACATCTTGGCAGCACCACAGTGCTAGACCCACAGCTCCCCTTTTTTTGAAATTCTTTCACACTCATCATTAGGATAATCAAAGCTTCCAGTTTAGTGCATGAGCTATTAAGTTAGCCAAAGCTTAAACTCTTGTAACCAGCAGAGAAACTGACTTTAAATAATTTAAGTGAAAATATGATTTATCACCCCAGATCTCACTCCTCCCAAAAATGATTTCCTACTATCTTCATTCAGCGGACTGATGACACAAATGCACAATGAGCACCAATGTGCAAGGTACTCTGAGTCTACAGAGCCTTACTGGAGAACGTATTCCTAAGTAGTGCGTGGCAGAAAGTGGTAAGGCCGTGCCACAGCACTCCAGCGTGGGCAGCAAAGTGAGACCCTGTCTCAAAGAAAAAAAAAAAGTGGTAAGGCATACAAATCGGGTGGAGTTAAGGAGGAAGCACTTGCTTTAAGCACTTAATGTAACCATTTTCCCTGCTACTATATGGTGCCTTTATGTATCATCCAAAAAAATTATCCCATTTTAAAATACTTCGTAAGGATTCTTTTATTTTTCTTTGTTCAAAAACAAAAAGCAATTCATACTTTAAAATAAAGGTGGATTCCCTGTTCATGGAAGGAAAACCTCTTTTCCCTTTCTCACTTCAGTTCACTCCTGATTCAAAGACTTTGAATCACTTAGTAGTTTCTCTCTTCCTTCAAGAAAGCATTTGTTTAAACCCAAGCATCTTGTAGTAATAGGAAACTTTTATTATCATAGCTGAGTGTGCTTGTTGGTTTGCCTTGGCTTGTTTTGTTTTGAGCATCCAAATTTCACAAAACCCAGATTTTGAAGACCAAAAGATTTTTCAAAAATGTATGAGGTATAGAACATTCAACTTTTGAGAGCACTTTAAAAAAAACTCTATACATTAGTCTCACCTACTTTGCTATAGAGTCAGTCATGGTGATTTTTAAATATATATTCAAAATCTCTTAAAAATCAGCTTAAGTATATGGGCTGGGCACGGTGGCTCATGCCTGTAATCCCAGCACTTTGGGAGGCCGAGGTCAGGAGTTCAAGACCAGCCAGTTCGAGACTAGCCTGGCCAACATGGTGAAACCCCATCTCTACTAAAAATACAAAAATAGCTGGGCATGGTGGCACGTATGTATAGTCCCAGCTACTCGGGAGGCTGAGGCAGGAGAATCGCTTGAACCCAGGAGGCGGGGGTTGCAGTGCACCAAGATCACACCACTGCATTCCAGCCTGGGCAACAGAGTAAGACTCTATGTCGACGGAGGGTGGGGGCGGGGGGGAAGGGGGGACCAGTTTATCAGTTTAAGTATGAAGACATTTTAAGGAAAAAATGGAGAATAATAATTTCCTTTGTGTGAACTCTAGTGGGTCTGATACAGGTAGCAATGTAATTTGAAATCAGTTGAATTTCCTGTTTTTCTCTCATAGGTTCAACTACTCAATTTCATGCTGGCATGAGAAGATAATCCTTTGAAACATCATTAGTTGAAGTGATTTTAAACAGATTTCATTTTGTAAATCATTGGTTCTTTTGTGCTTTTGTATTGTGAATATTCGATGGGACCAATATGAACACAGCTTATGATTGTATACAAATCCCTTGCCAGCACATGAAAACAAACTGGAATTTGTATATATAAGCATTGTGTATGTATTCATGCACAATAATCATTGAATTACCTGTATATTTGTGGAATGCTAATTTAAAACATTAAATTATGAACCTTGTGTATTTATCAAATGGGTGAAAAGATTAAACTTTTACGCATTACAATACCGCTGAATGTGTAGCTCGAGGTGTCCTGCACTTTCCTTATAAGGCTACTGAAGTTACATGTTTTGCCTAATATATTCTACTGGTGATGAAAACAGATACCACTTGTAGAGACCTATTTTTGTATAATGGTAGAAGTTTCGAATTTTATGGGGTATTTTGTCAAGTACTGAAATAAAAATGACTTCACCATTTTCACCACACTGTATTTGAACCTTCTTCATTTTTAACTGAGCTATAGTTCTTGGTACATAGCATCTCATTACTTATGTCAAATATGTAGGAGTGAGAGATTCAGAGAAAGTTGTCCTAATCTTAGAGTTAATACTGTTGAAAAGTTTTCCATGTGTCTTTGTATCAACTTTACATCTACATAATGTTTTTTAAAAGCTATATTGGTATTTCATGATTGATCAATATTTACTGCATTACAGTTAGTGTTACTTGATTCCAAAGAAGTGTTCTCACAAATCCATGGCCCACTAAAAAGATGAAGAAATCATTAACTCAAAAGATCTTAATCACATTGCAGCAGAATTAAACAGTATCCCTGTTGTCCAAGCCAAATTCAGACTGGGAGGCTGTCACAGAGATAATACAAATCGCAATGTTATTTCTCATCTGGAGTCCTCCCCAATAACATGGCAACTCACTAAAAACAGCAAGAGGACTAGTATTTGATGCTTACATCCGGAGGATTTTGTCTTCTTATTTGATGTTCCATGATTTATACCAACACAAACAGGCATGGGAGAAAGTTGTACAGTCTTGAACATTTCCAATTTCAGTCATCCCTCAGCATGTGTGGGGGATTCGTTCCAGGATCCCCCTTGGATACTACAGTCCGCGAATGCTTAAGTCTCTTATAAAACAATGTGCTATTTGCAAATAATCTACAATATCCTCCTGTGTACTTCACATCATCTCCAGATTATTTGATACCTAATACAATGTGAACATTATGTAAATAGTTGCTACTTATTTTTTTTATTGTTGTGGGGTTTTATTTTTAATATTTTAAACCTGCAGTTGGTTGAATCAGAGTATGCAGAACCCACAAATACAAGGGGCCAACTATACTTAAATTTTCCACATTAGAAGCTGGGTTCCAATAAGAGGAATTCTAGAAATAGCAAACATACTCTAAAGCAGTTAGTTGAAGGGGCAGGTTGTGGGTAAAAACCTTTTTCAGCTAAGCATGGCTTGCCATTCAAGGCCATTCTGCTCTAGGAGACAGTGGAGAAAAAAAACATGGACAAATGATCTGATCAAGCTGAGTTTACTGCCATTGTTTGACCACCAAGCCTCCTTATGATATTAGGCCTCTGCAGTCACACTTGTTTATGCACCTCAATAATTAGTCTGTGATTAAAAATGAAATCTGTTAAGTCTAAAACTATTCACTAAACATTAGACTAGCCTTATCTCAGGTTCGTAACTAGATACTTCAAGAAATCTGTAACATCTGTAATATGAAAATATCTGAGATTTCTATTGACAAAATCATGGATACTGCTAATGTTGCCCAAATTCATAAATGAAATAAATACTAAATTGCAGTTAGAAATTAGTGCAAATAAAGATGTAATTTTTCCCTCACTCAAGTTCCTGGATTCCCTAACTCTGCTCACTGAAGCACATACTTTACAATTCATGAATACAGGCTATATTTTTTCAAAGAGAATTTTAATGTGAAAAATTAGCAGAGATTCTGCCTTCACAATTAGAGTTTAACATGAGTCTTCCAGCCTTTTAAAAAGAACTGTAATATACAGAAAGCAAAATATTTTGGCATCATCTAGTGAAAACAGATGATGTGGTATTTTTTCAGCCATCTCATATAGTTAGGCCCGGAGTTATAATTTAAGATAAGTTGATTCCTAAACAGAATGTGCTTTACAGAATGTGACCAATTACATTACTCCCAAGGACCTTGTTTCAGATTATCTTAAAGTCAGAGTTCACTGATCTCACATTTTTAAAAGAAAAAAGTTAGTTTAACTGTTTTAATCAACACAAGTAGTAACAAACATCCCTAACTGGATTCTAGAGAGGAAGCAGGGAAGGCCAGGCACGGTGGCTCATGCCTGTAACCCCAGCACTTTGGGAGGCTGAGGCGGGTGGATCACGAGGTCAGGAGTTCAAGACTAGCCTGGCCAACATAGTGAAACCTCCATCTCTACTAAAAATACAAAAAATTAGCCAGGCACGGTGGTAGGCGCCTGTAATCCCAACTACTTGGGAAGCTGAGGCAGAGATTTGCTTGAACCCGGGAGGCGGAGGATCCAATGAGCCGAGATCGTGCCACTGCACTCCAGCCTCGGCAACAGAGCTAGACTCCATCTCAAAAAAAAAAAAGAGGAAGCAGGGAACATGTGAGCCAAAACAAAATTATCCCCTAAGGACTTGACTTTGGACTTCCACATAAATGTGACCTTGTAGAACTAGATACATACTTATCAGGTAAACATGTAATTATTTAGTAATTAGATCAAGATACACGAGCAGTCTTTAGCATTAATAATTACATTATTTTTAAGAAATCTTATCAAATATGGTCCTAGATCTCTTAATTTCCTATATGCAGTGATTTTAGTTAAAATTCCAAAGGATTTATTTTTCTATAACATCTCCATTTCTGAATACCATCATACTAAAACAGTTAGTATTCTCTTATTCAAGGCTTTAGATGTTCGATTATTCCCTCTTCCATCCTCACACACACAATAATTGCCCAGATAAATAATAACCTGTGGTTTCCAAGTATCTCACTGGGATTTTTATTCTTTATACCTTGCAGGACTAGTCCAAGGTTTGAATACCCTGAACTTATTTGGCAAGAGCTATGAGTACTCTTAAAATTACTACATGGAAATTATATTATTTAGAATCTGCCAATTACCTAGATCCCCCCCTGAACAGTTGTTTTACTAATGAACTTCCTGAAAGCACATGTATAAGTAACATAACTATTAGAAAATGTTTCAAATGCTATTATATTTGATAGAACCATTCAGTTAACAAAATACTAAATCAGAAGTTAAACTGGCTTTTAGAATTACACACTCAAAAAAACAGTACACTACAAGAGTTGTTTTGTACACTTCATTCTCTTCGAACGCCTTTGTGGCTTACAGTGACGATCACATATATTAGCTCCTGGCAGTCTTTTCATTTTGATCTTCGTTTGTAACGAATAACTGGGTTTTCAGGGGTGTGAATCATAGTTGTATAATTCACGGTGGGAAAGTATCCATCAATGAGATCAAATTCATATAAACGAAGCATAGTGGACCAAATTGTCTTAATTTGAACATAGGCAAAATTTTCCCCAATACAACGATGACGCCCTAAAAAAAAGAAAAAGTTACAAGAATTGGTTTAAATTCTTTCTCATCCTTTTTACTCTGAGGTGATATTTTTATTTACATTTTAGATGAATAGCAAATGTACAGATAGTATAATAAAAAGATGACATTCTTTTCACATAAAACTGTGAATTATTAAAAATTCCAGGAGATTTTCAATATCACATTTTAGGAAAACAGTACTTGACTAATCACATAACTTTTCCAATTACTTTTACTGAAAACATATATCTGGGTTAAATATATGGGAAAGTTTGAATCATAAGATGGTAATCTAGTTTGGGAATATAGTAGAATATTCTGTTTCTGTCCCAAGAAAGCCCTAGTTAAAAGTCAATATGAAAACCTTCCAGTCAAAACCTCAAATGTCATTATAAATGATTATGGAAGAAAATGAGATTTAATGAACCCAAAATAATACATATACTAAAAAGTCACATCCATGTAGAAACTGACAAGCTAATTCTAAAATGTATATGCAAATACAAAGGACCTAGGATATCCAAAGCAATCTTGGAAAAAGAACTGAGTTGGAAGACATAAAACTGATTTCAAATCTGACTTCAAGACTAAAGGTAAAACACAAGAGTGGTACTAGGTAAGGATCAACAAATAGATAAATGGAACACAGCACAGAGCCCAGAACAGAGTATTTTTATGGTTATTTGATTCTCAATAAAGACACCAAGCCAATGAGGAAAAGAAAAGTCTTTTCAACATAAGGTCCAGGAATAACTAGAT